TTTTCATAACAGCGGCTGGGCAGCGTCAAGTTGGAACCCGGAGATGTGCCAGGCGCAGGCAGGGCGACAGGGCCAGTTCAAAGGCTTCTAGCTGAGGCCCTGCGCTCAGTGGCTGTGGCCGTCACCAGTGAGTGTCACTTCTGTTGTCCCTGTGGTCCTTTCAGAAATGAGGCTTTGGTTGATCTCAGAAGCCCTTTCTGGTGTTCTTAACGATTGTCGGGAACAAAACGTCTCTGCAAGGAGAAGTGTGGGCTTCCCCCAACAGTTCCTGTTATCAGCATACAGCATTTGTTAACCTGCATGAAACGAAATGACACCTTGAGCAACTTCTCTCTAAACCCCGGGGTGGGGAGAGGAGATGCCTGCTTCTGGGTGCTGGAGGACCATCATTCGGGTGTAAATAGAAGAGAAAGGCATGGGCTGCTCCGTAGACATGGGGACTCTGTCAGAGCTGATGGAGGATGAGGTCGGCCCGAGTGGTGGTGAGTTCTCCAGGTGAGAGCAGACAAGACTGCTGCTGACTTTGGAGGTCTGAGTCCATCGTCCCCCAGTGATGCATCTACACTGTAGTGGTCACCATATTGAGGTCACAGGCCTCTCTGCTGCCTCTCCTGGGGGCTCCACTTCCACAGTGGCCTGGGAGAGGCTTGCCAGGAATGTGCTGGCTGGCCTGATCCCCACGTTTCTCAGGAGCTGACTTTTGAATCTGGGACCAGAGACCTTTTGCCTGGCCCCTGTAGTCCTCAGACAAGCCTTGAGTGCCTACTGTGTGCCGGGCTCAGTCCTAAATGGAGGGAGGGGCCACCTATGTCTGTGTCCTGGGAAGTTCACTGTCAGGTAGGAGACAGGATGAATGAGGCAGTGATGCACTGTTCAGTCCAGTCCAGTCTGTGATAAAAGCAGCCCCAGGAAGCCCGGAGGCCAGCCTTGGAGCAAAGGGAGGGGTTCCTGGCAGTCAGGCACCCTGAGGCAGAGCACGTCAGTTTGTCAGTCCTCTGTCAATCCATCCGTTGGTCCATCTCTGCAGATACGTGTGGAGGCTCCTGGATCTTTCTCAGCCACTCTCCTCTTGGTGAGGGTTTTGTGTGTAAACCATGGAGAATGGAAGAGATGCAGGGGGCGCCAATAGAGGTGTGTGTGTGTGTGTGTGTGTGTCCTGGGTCAGCATATTCTGACCCCTGGGTGTCCCGAGGATGTGGGCAGGATCAGGGTAGGGAGTCCTGGTCTTAAGGGTAAATGGCTGCCCAGGGAAAACAAAGAAGTGGATTTCACAAAAAGATAACAGCACCAACCACAACAAAAACTTATCGGTAAATAACCAGGGGGGAGACGCTGGTGACCCATGGAACCTATGGTCAAGGGCTCTGGACATCTTGGAGACTGATCTCTAGAGAACTGGAAAGACTTCAGGTGTTCCAGACCCTGCAGGACCAGCAACAGTAGGGACACACTGAGGAGATGGCCACCTGGGGCTCTGGAGACCCTGCTTTTGTTTGCTCTGTGTCCTGTCTGTGGCCCACTGCTTTATACGGGGTCATCCTCATCCCCTCAGCCTTGCAAGTGTCGTGGGGTCACAGGCTTCAGGATAGAGCCACACTGCAACCCCACCCTGGAAGGGATCTCTGCTGTTCCTTCCTGCCTCAGCTCAGTCAGTGAACCTACACTGAGCTGGGTGCTTTGGGTCCTCATGCTTCTGTAAGTGAGACTGGCAAGCCAGGGCTCCTTCCTCCCTCCTCCCTGTGTGCGAGAGGGTAGCAGAGATGAGATGGGAGCGGTGGGGATTGAGTGGGGATTATGGCCCATCAGCCGAGACCAGAGAGGAAAGGCTTGGCTGAGGCAAGGGATTAATGTTATTTTTATTTCTATGAGTGTGGGGGAGGTTGGGAGAGAGAGCTTCAAGCCGTCTTGCTTCTTTGTAGTGCCCCCTTATGTTAAAATTCCTACCCTCATCCCTAAACACCTTTCCCAGGACGCATGGAGGGAACGCCACCAGTCTTCAGCTTGCATGGGCTGCGTGTACTGCTGAACAGTTAGGTGCTGTTCTTTATCACCATACAGTGGGTTTGAAGCCACCTTGCACTTTGTGTTTTGTGAGATGTCACAGAAAGCTGTTCTGACGGGACAGACGGAATGAGAAGCCTTGGGTCCCTAGGTGGAAATCTGGCTGCCTCACTTCTGCCCTGAAGCAGCCCCTTGTCCCGGAAGGCAGGGTTCCTGTGTTGTCCTCACCTTCCCAGGCCCCTCAGAGTTTATTTTTGCTGATCTGTGGGCATGGCCAGCTTGGTTTTTGCCACTTGAGGGGCTGCCTGTACTTCGAGGTCCAGAGCTCTTTAGAGGGCACCCACTGTGCATGCTTCACTGTTTCCCACACCTTCCTCCCAGCCTGGAGCCTGGAAAACTGAGCTCGGAGCTGCGTGTTGGGTGAACGTTTATCCTGCCCATGCGTGCACCTGCAGACTGCAGTCCTTTAGCTCTGGTCCCTTTGGCCCCTTCACATCCGGTCTCTGAAGCTTCCTGCCCCCCTCCCATCTTCCCACTAGCTTGGCCAGCTTTCTGGCATTGGGCTGTTTCCATAGTAACTCTCCTGGCCTCCAACTGGAGGAGACTGAACTTCAGTCTTCCTAAAGCGATTAGTGGAGTATAGGTTGCGTGTGCCCAGCTGTCTGGTTAAGGCAGCTTGCTATGGCATCAGGATATTTTAAAAATAACTTTTAAATTTTGGATCACTTTTAGATTTATAGGAAAGTTGCCGGGATAGCTCAGGGAGTCCCTGTCTACTCCTCACCCAGTTTCCTCCATTATTAACATCTCGAGTTACAATGTGATGCTTCCTGAGACTAAGTGCTACTGGGATACACCCGCTATTCACTCAACACCGGCTCTGTCTGCAGTTTGCTAGTTTGTCTTCTAGAGTCCTTTTCCGTCCTTGGGTCCTGTGCAGGACATACTTCCTCTGGCCTGGACAAGTGCAGGCCTTGCTTGTCTTCCATGGCTAGGCATCTGTTCCACTGTTTGGAAGTGCGACTTCTGGGCCTGAGCTGCTTGCTGCTGATGGGCTGGGGCTGGGCTGCTGCTGAGAACAAAGCCTGGCCAGCTGGCCTGGGCTAGCTGTCTTGGCCAGGCAGGTGTGCATGTGGTGTGTGTGTGACCAGGAGATTAGTATGGGGATTAAGGGAAATGGTCACCAGGAAGCTCCTGTCTTAGTGGAGCCTTCGGCTCAGGTCTTAGAAGAACCCTCTACTGGTGCTGAGGGTTAGTGAATGGTACTTGCTAGAAGTGTGGGTTAATGTGGTAAATGCTCTAGAGGGACCATAGGGGGATAGTCATAGAACAGGCTGAAAGGGAGGCTTGAGGACAGGGCTGAGGAGGGAGCCAAACATCCTGAGTTCCTCCCCGCCTCCTCTCTGCATCCCTGAGCTAAGCTGTGAGCTGTCAGGACTGGGGGTGGAGGAGGGGAGGAAGTGTGAGTGGGAAGAGAGGCTTGCAGAGCAGAAAGGGCCTGCGGGTAATACCATCTGTGAGGAGGAAGAAGGGATTATTTGAATGTCCTTGAATGACTTCAGGTGCAGGGAGAAAGCAGGAAAAAAGGTGTGGGCTTCTCATGGCCTTGACCTCCTTAGCGCTTGCCTTTGGGTGAACCCACTCAGATGTCAGCCTGTCCGTGGGAGTCACCTCTGCCACCATGGCTTCCATATTCCCCAGGCTCCGCCTGGCATTCAGGTGAGCTTGGCTTTTTCCTGGCATGTAATTCCATGCTTGCGGTGCGGTGGTATTGAGGCCAGCTTGCCCACATGGCTCTGGACTGAGGCTGAGACCCTAGGGAGCTAGAGGGGCTGCTGTGATCTGTGACCCTGGTGCTGCAGATGCTGGCTGTTCTGTGAGCATGGCAGGATGACTGATGACCTTGTGAGGAGAAGCTATGGGCACGGTGCTCAGTTATGAGACCTTGAGGCCTCTCTCCCTTTGTGTAGCAGCAAACTTTGGATTGGACCAGGATGGATCTAGAACTGGCTGTGTTCCTGATCAGCGGGGGCTGAGGATAATTTAACCTTCCTGACCACAGCTTCCTCATTTGTGTGCATAGCCTCCACCCGGAGGCCCCTTCGCCTCTTGCGAGAGCGCAGAGGCCTAGCTCAGGTTTTGAGCACAGGCAGCTAAGAGCATGACACATGGGTGTGGAATCATGATGGTGTTTGTATCCAGCAAACAGGATGCATGGTCTTTTGAAATGCACAGAAGTTTAGGAAATACTGACCCTGCATTAAAGCACAAAGAAAATGTCAAATACCACTAAATACGGCTCACATCAGCTGCCTTCCTGATAGTGATGCGATCTGAAATGAGCAGTAGTTCACCAGGCTTATCTGTGTTGGAAATTTAAACATACCATTTTTAAGTAACTCTTGACTTAAAACAGAAATGGCAGGAAAAGCAGAAGTGAATAATAATGAAAGCAGTAAATATCAAAATTTGTGAGGAGGTAGCTGAAGCAGGATTTAAATGCACATAGTAGAAAATGGCAGATTTAAAATAAATGAAGTAAATTCTGTGACTATGTGAAATCTTTTCCTCAGAAACCTTGCAGCCAGTCTGAGAGCTGCATTTTTATTAATGTGTATATCAACACATTAACACATTCATTGCAGTGAGCTGGGACGTGTATATAACCTGTGTTAATTCTTTTATGCTTATCTCCTCCCCACTGCAGAAACTCTCTTTAATCGCTCAATGCTCTGCTTTAGATGCTACAGTGTCTCGGGCTGGTGTCCAGTGCGGCTGTGAGCATCTTGGATGTGATGGCTCATGGAATCTTTCTGGCAAGGCTGTGAGCAGATCATTGTGGTCACGTTACAAATCAAAAAACTGAGGTGCAGAGGAGTTACACAGTCGCCAGGGCCAGAGCTGGTGTTCGGCACAGACATTGGGTGGGTGTATTCCTGTATCTCCCTGCTCATGCATGTTAGCAGGATGGCAGGTGCTTGTAGCCTTCTCTTTCACCCATATATGTTAATCCAATTTAGATCTGGAGATGTTACATTGTCTGCTAACTAAATAACAGTGCGCCCCTAGGACTGCACAGCAGTGCATCTTCAGGTGGCCTATGGGGGCCCTGAGCAGCACAGACCCGCTTTGGGTCCTACTGATGGCATTTGACAGCTGATTTACTGGATGAAACAACCTAATGAAGCTGCTGCTTCGTGCGTCAATGGGGAAAGTAATGTTTGTCTCTAATAGGGCTGAAGTGAGGAAGAAATGATGTATTTGAAAGCGTGAGATGCCTGTGACACACACATCTTCTACTGTCACTGTCACAGCAGGATGTGTGATCCACTCTGCTCTTGTCCGGCTGTCCACTGTCTTGCTGCTTTGCCCTACTCTGGTTTTAAGTTCATTCCTCAGTGTTTTCCCTCCTTTGCATAGGGCCGATGGTTGCCTTAGTCGCTCTGCGGAAATGGCATCGTGAGAGTGAAAGCAGGCTTGCCTAGCGTATTCATATCTACCGATTGTCTCTTGGTTCTCCTGCTAAGGGTGTTGTAGAAGATGTGATTCGGCTCAAGAGGAAGTGTTTTCTGGGATTCGTTTCCATGGTAGAGAAAGCTCAGTGCACTGGGGAGCACTGGGTTTGAAGGGCCATCTTTGACCCTTTAAATGGGGAAAGAGGGTGCTAGTGCCACACACTCATCAGGCTCTCTGCTCTTTGTATCAAAGCAGAGGGTGAGGAGCTTTGGCCCTGGGTTGTGCACTGGTCCTGTATGGGGAGGTGGTGCCCACTGGGAACCTACAGGCCCTGCTGCTCCAGGAGGCAGTCTGGGGATGGACTGGACATCAGCATCGTCTTTCGGAGCCAGGTGGAGAGGAGCCTGTCTGCAGAGTGAAGAGGTGGGCGAGTCCGCACTCACCTTCACTGGCACCATCCCTGTGTCCTTTCCTTTCCTGCTGTAGGACGTTGAGGACCAGATGTCTCTTCCATCCCAGTGGTGGCTGTTCGTTTTACCAAGATGCTCCTTCAGGGAGCTTCTGGGCCTCTGCCTTGCCCGGGACCCTCCCACCATGGGATCGGGTCAGAGAGCCAATGAACTAAGTGCTCTTCATTTGAGATGCTTTCGTTACAATCTTTCTTCATCCTTTTCCCTTCTACTCTAATTTGTGAGAGCCTTACGGAAACTAAGTTACTGATTTAAACTTAAATTGCTGCCATGTGTTTATGTAGAAATAAGAACTCATTTGTTTTTCAAATTCTTCTCAGGTGTCTCAGTTATTTTTCTTGTTGCTGAGACAAAATACCTGACACCCAAAGTCAAAGGAGGGAAGGTTTATTTTGCTCACAGTTTGTAGAGGCTTCAGTTCATAGTCGGCTGGCTCCTAGATGGGGTGGTGTGGCAGAGGGGTACCACAGAGGAGAAACAGTCCATGGCAAAGCAGGGAAGGCTGAAGGCAGCTGGCTACAAGTGGCAATCAGCAAGCAGCAAGCGATAACCAACAACAGCAGCGGCCTGCTTTCTGTCCTTTTTATTTTATCCAGGCTACTTGCCCTTAGCACTCACCCTTAACCCTAGCATATTACTGTGAATCAGTCCTAGCATTAATCACATCCTTGATCCCAGTGGCACACACTGTAGATCCAGCCACCTCTGAAAAGCCTTTCCTCTGACTACGTGAGGCTTTGGAGGGACATCTAGATATAAGCCATAAAAAGAGGCACCCTATTCATCAGTGTGGTTTTCTTCCTTTCTCTCTTCTCTTTTTTGACAAGAGACACCCCCCCACCCCCCGTGCTTTTATTGTACTAGAGATGGAACCCAAAGCCTTGCACATGCTGGTCAAGTGCTTTACCCTTAGCTATATCTCTAGTCCAGTAGTAGGACTCTTAAAATGAAATCTGTTCAGCTCCAGTGATTAAAGGAGTGAATCTGGGCAGACCAAAGAGGGTGGTGAGGCCTGACAACCAGGGTGGTTTTCAAGACATCACTGAGGGATCCTGGGGTTCCCCCAAACTGCTGTTGACAGCTAAGCTCTGAACTTGGTGAGAAGACCAAGGCTTGACAAAGACAGGAGCTGTCCTGAGGCCCATAGCTCCTCCCTCCTGGGCTGGGTCCTTCTGCAGAACTGGCAGCTGCTGTCCTAGCCCCTGGGTTGCTCTAGGCCAGATGCCTTCTAGCCGGGCTGTGTAGCTTAGGGCTTGGAACAGAGCACCTGAGCCTGGGCCCGCCTCTGCAGGTTGGGAGCTGGCAGACTATATTACCTTGTAACTGCCCTGCACTGCAGTTTCTCAGGAGCAGGAGAGTCTGAGTGGGAGTCAGTGCCTTGGTGTCTGGTGAGCAGCTGGGGCACAATGACTGCCAGGCATCTTACAGAGGCTCAGCCATATTTATGGATCACATGAGCTGTGCGGCTCACCTGTGGTCAGACGGACAGAGTGCAGAAGAGGCCAGTGAGGGGCTGTGGGCATTCAGGAAGAGTTGCAGGCTGAGCTGCTGAGGCTAGAGTTCTGGGCCCCTGAGTGCTCCCTGCCCTGCCCAGAGTGGAGGCTGTAGCTCTGCTGCCATTTCTGAAATGTGGGGCACTTTTAAAGGGTGGGCCGAGGGGCCACAGATCCCCTGTTGCAGTTCAGTGCTGTCTGAGTCATTGGCAGCCTCTCCCTGCTCCTGGTATGAGAAACACCAGGGGACTGGGCAGGAAGAAGTGTGGGGCTGGGGGGTTCCAGGTTCCATTTCCCAGTAGTTGATCTTGCAGCTATGGTAACCCACAGCTTGATGGCTTGATTGTCTGATAATGATGCTGAAATTCTCTTCTTGGCTGAGGGTGGTCACGTGTGAGCTGAGGACAAAGGGCGCTGTGTGCTGTTCACCCTTGGACCCTGCCGGCCTTTGGACTTAAGAGCTGCCTGCTGAAGGGAAGGAGCCCCTGACTAGGACCTGGTAGAGGCTGTCATCAGGGAGCCTGAGGGGCTACAGGTTCATGGGCCCGCAGAGGGTGGGAAGGACAGTTTTGCCTTGTGTCATCTGATTCAGATGAGGTATAGTTATTTTATGCTTTGGAAGCAGCATGCTACAGGGCAGCCACACAGGACGACAGAAGAGCAGAGACCCGAGTTGTAGTCCAGTCTGTACCAGTGACCCATTACCTTGTCTTGGGCTCAGATTTCTGCATATCTGGGTGAAGGGACTAGTGGTAAAGTCCTTAAGGCTGCATTTAGCTCAAGTCCTATCTCCCCCCTCCCCCTTTTCCTTAGATGCTCAGCTCTAGGTTAAAGCAATGAGGAACTGACTTAGCTAAGATCTGATGTGTGATTACTTTATTGAGTTCTAACCATGTATCATACATTGTATAAGGAAGTTTGAAGTTTTATCTTCACATAAGTCCTGGATGTCCGTTTGTTTATCTCTGTGATAACATTATCTATATTTACAGAATATCTACATCTACATCAATAGGAAATACACATACATAGCCAGAACCACAGAGACACTTTCATTCATATATATATATATATATATTTGCCCACGCTATTGCCTGCCTGTAATACCAGCACTCTGGGAAACTAAAGTGGGAAGTCTGAGCCAGATCTGGGAAACTTAGCAACTTGGTGGACCCTGTCTCAAAAAAAGGTCGAGTGCAGGAGCTGGGAATATATCTTGGTGCGAAGGTCATGGGTTCAGCCCCTAATACTACCTAAAGAAAAAGACCCATAGTACTACATGTCAGAAATGTTACACAGATTTGAACAGAGGAAGGTGGCAGAAAGAGGAGGGTGTGCTTTTTAGGGCTTTGCTATTGTAAGAGCTGGGTGAAGCTTGGCAGTGTCAGCCGACCTCCCACCACAGTGACAGGCAGCTCTGAGACCTGCTTCCTGGCTTTATGCCCAGTCAGGTGCCAGGTACCCTACAAGCTCCACAACTTATGCCATTCCTGCTACATCATGCTGCAAGTGGAGCTGAACCTGACAGTGCATGTCACAGAACTGCCAAGTAACAGTGAACGGGAGAAGTGGGGCCAGATGGAGGTTGGAGGGTTGAGTCCAGACAACAGAGGAAAGGGAGCAGGGTGGGGTGGAGGCACTGCTCGAGCCCAGAGCAGGGTTGACTGTGATGGGTGCAGAAGGTAGGGAGCAGCCCAGGTTGTTGGGAGCAGAAAATGCTTGGTGGAGACAAAGTAGGGTGCTGCACAGCCACCTCTCCAAGGATCTTGGCAGGCAGGCAGTGGTGGTGAAGTGGGGTGCTCATGAATGGCGATGTCAGGGGGTTGGAGCAGAGTGTCATCCAATGCATGGGGCGTAGCAGAGGCACAGACAGAGCTGCCACTCAGGCCTGGTCGGGAACACACTATTCTTTCTCTGCCTCAGAGGAGGAAACTGAGAGACACAGGCGTTGGTTCACGTGTGTAGGGCTCCAGGACAAGCATGTGATGAGGCCAGTTATGCAAGCTTGGCCACTCAGTGCTGAGGAACTGACCTGTTGACTTAGCCTTTAGGGAGTAGGAGGGAGGAGAAGGAGGAGGCAGGGGACTATTTCTTTCTATCCACGTCTTCCTGGCTGGCTGATGGGAAAAGGACATTTGCTAGGCACTGGTGTGTGAACCTTGTGTGCGCTCAATGCTGAGTGTCTCAACAGCCTCATGACAGTTCTGAGGCAGGTGGTGGCATTTCCATTTGCAGGCACTGTCCCCCATGGAGGTCTTGCAGCTGTGGCTGGTAATGGCAGGCTTTGGGCCCAGGTCGTGGGCTGTCAAAGGCCCCTCTTTCCCAGGTCATCTCACTGAAGTTGCCCAGCCAGAACTGAGGCATGTGGAATCCCTGTACAAACTGTGGAGGTCCAAGAACCTCCTATTGTGGCAGAGGAGTGCGCTTCCACCTCCCATGCTCCTGGCTCCTGGAAAGTTCCCTTAATGCACACATGATGACAGCCTCCTCCTGCTTGCTGAGCTCGTGTGAATGCTGAGCTGACATCCTGTGGGACCACTGTGTGCACACGTGCATGTACCCACATTCCCGAGGTCTGTGTCTCATGTGGGTCTCCAGACAGCCCATGGAGAAGGATCCCCACCCCAAAGCTGGTTATCTTGCTTCTAGAGGAAGGCTGGGGCCCTGTTTTCCGGTGAGGATGGTGCAGATCTTCCTGCAGAGGCTGACAACTGGCCAAGGGACCCTGTAGTTAATGCTTTAGAAACTGCTGGGTGGATCTAGGCTCTGTGGAAGCACTTTTTTTATTTAGCTAAAATGGATTCAGTTTCTGTCATATGCCTGTTGATTGTAAGCACTCAGAAAAACAGGTGGAATACATTAATGAAAAGCAGCATGCTAAATGATAAAGCTGAAAAGTCTGTGGAACCTGCCAGAAGCTTCAGAGGGCTCCGAGGGGCAGGTGTATAGTCACTGTGACAGTGGCCTGCCTTCGGCTGACTTGGCTTCCTCCTCTTGAGTCACTCTCATAGTTCCCTGCCCTCTTGAGGCTGGGGTTGTGACTGGTGGTCTCCCCAGAATCATGTGGGGAAGGAACCCAGGGCACACAGGCAGATAGACAGATGAACAGACAGACATACCGTCTGTGTAAAGAATTGACACTCTGCTTGTAATCTTGGCTTTCTTTCTGGGAGGCTGAGGCAGAAGGACTGCAAGTTTGAGCCTAGTCTGAGCAATTGAGTAATCTAGTGAGACTTTTTCTCAGAGTTAAAAAAGAGCCGCTGCAGGGCATGAAGAAGCAGGCGCAGGGGTTTCCCTTGCCTTACCACTACCCTCCACAGCCAGTTCCTTGTGTGTGCTTGGAAATCAGGTGTGCAGAGTAGCAGTGCCCTGGGAGCTCTGTTGCTGGGTGGTAAGGGAGCCCTGCCACTGGACAATTATTGTGGTTTCACACAGGAGGGTGAATGAGATCAAGGAAGCTAGGGTTCCCAAAGGATCCTGGGCTGGGGTGGGGAGGCTTTTCCTTCTAAACAGGAGCTCTTGGACAGGGAGCATTTCCTTTCTAAAAGATGATTTCTAAAACAGGAAGACCTTTGCTCCTACTGCGAGCTTTAGAGCTTTAGAGGGGCTGTGCCCGGAACTTCTTTGAATGGTGTGGAGAGAGGGCCTAGGTTCAACAATGGCATGGAGTTGGCCAGGCCTTAGGTTTAGCTCTGTGACTCAGGTGCTTATGCCGCTGAGCTAAACCTCCAGCCCCTCTGGCCCCATTCTTAAACCTCCCTAAGTTCTATGTTCCTCAGCTGCAGTGAGATACATGCTGTGATCACCACCACCAACAGCAACAAGGCTGGCATGGGGTAGGGGCAGGACTCAGTGCCGTGTGCTGGCCTAGCCTTGAGCCACCCCAGGTTCCATGCCAGCACCAAAAGTCCAAACCAAAGCCTGGCACTTATTAAAATCCATGTCTTTTATATTCATTCTCTCGTTTATGCCTTAAATTGCTGTATGAAGTAGTTATTGTCAGCATTTAATGGATACAAAACCTTAGGTCCAACAAATGAGTAACTTGCTTGCCTGCCCCCCTTTGTCTTCTGTGAAAGTCAGTGGATGGCAGAGCCAGTATTTAACTTGACAGTACAGTAGCAGAATCTGCCTATGACCCTCATGGGAAATCGTGTGAAAGGCTCTCTGTAGCTCTTGGAACTCAGAGCATTTTATCCTCTGCTCCTTTGTCTCCTACAGAAGCAGCTGACACAGGATGACGATACCGATGAGGTGGAAATCGCCATCGACAACACAGCCTTCATGGATGAATTCTTCTCTGAGGTGGGCCTCTTTCCTGTGTTTTGTTCTGAATGTACATAAAGAAACACAGCTTCCTTTGTGAAGACACAGAAACCTCACATCCCTTCAGAGTGGCAGAGAAAAGTTGCTGCCTTCTGCTCCGGCGGGACGGGGGCGGGGGCAGCACCTGGCTGAGAACATTCCTGGGAAGAGCATCTTTTCAGTTCCTTCTCAGCCTTATTAAGAAGGTCAGCAAAGGGGAAATTACATGTGCTCAAAGATGTGCTGCTAAATCTTATGCCGCGTGGCAGCACTGTAATCATATCCCTTTGTCCTAAAGAGTATACTTTAAACATAGAGTTCACCCAGTTACCAGGAACGTGAAGAATTATTGCATCATTAGGCTTGTAATGCAGATAGGTCAAATTTGTTGTTTGCAAGCATTTTTATAGTGCCTTCGGCTTAATACTAGTGGTAACAGAGAGACCACGAAACCCCAGTTTAGCTTTGTAAAGTCTGATGAGGGCATGTCGTCCATGTCCATGGACTCAGCTACCCTTTGACTTTCAAGGTGAGTGCAAGGATGGGGCATAGATTGGTGGGAAGTTGTGGAGTGGGAGTGGCTCAGGCACAGAAATGCTGGCTGGCTCTTGAATCTCAGCTTGCTTCTGACCAACTAATGATTTTGTTAACATTCCTTAACCTGCTGAGCTTTGATTTTCTCATCTATAAACTGGGATCAGTAATATAATGATTTCCTATAGACTTAGTGTAAGAATTGAGACAGTGCTCATCAAAAAACACTTAATAATAACAATAACAACAACAAAAAACCAAACTGGAAACAAACTTTTGGTGAGGTTTTTGCCACTGTGCTATGGTTTCTTTAGTTTTTATTTCCCTGGGAGTAGAGGGTTAAAAACCAAGAGGCACTGTATTCTTTTTGCAGAGAATTTGGGCACTTCCCAGCCTCTTGGGTGCACTGGGGCTTGCCGGCTCATGCCTGACCTCCTGTGAGAAAAACTCCCTGCACCGGTGCTGCTGGCCGCGGCGGGTGGGGGCAAACCTTTTCAGCCCTCCTTCAGGCATGCCATCGGGTCGGCCTCTGCTCCAGGTGTTATCATGAGATCAGGTGGAGCCTGACCCACTGTGGTCTGTGGGACAGGGTCCTTTTGTTCGGTGGTGGGTGGAATTGAAGAGATGTTTGTAGGTGTTGTATCTTGTCCCCCGTCAGTCTTACCCTGGAGAACCCTAAGCATTAGTAAACCTCTGCCCTAAGAGAAAAAGGAACCTTCTCTAATACCTGAGTTCTCCTCCTTCTCCTTAACCAGAAGGAGGGTTCCTGAAAGACAGATTCCTTGTGAGGTGGGAAGGTGGTGAGCTTCACAGCTCATTTCCACCCTGTAGCGTTTCAAGGCAGTGTGACCTTGGTCAAATTACTTAAGCTGTTTGAGCTTTGATTTCCTGCTCTGGAAATTGAGAGTTAGTGGCTGTCTTCCAAAGCTAGTTTAAGAACTACAGGACCTCACACACCTGGCAAGAATGATCTGGATAGAAAAGCACTGGGTGGATGATGTTTTCAGAGATGGAGCGAGATCTTCTGGCTGCTTTATTGTCTTACTGCTTTTCTTTCCTTTTATTTTCCCTTCTTGATCATTTCCTTAGTTGGCAGAGAGAAGAAAATTTTTGAGGAAACGGACTTGCCTTTGGAGGCAGAAGTGTTAATTTATTATTGTGTTCACTTAACCATCAAAAAATGTCTGACAGTTGCCATCTTCCAGATTGGATGTGAAGTGTTGGTGATGCAGTATTGTGTGTGACAAGGTCCCTTGCCCCATGTCTCCTGCTCAGTGAGGGTGACAGAGATTTTAAAAAGCTGTCCCGTAAACAGAAATGTCAAGAAAGTACTATGGGAGCACAGACAAGGAAGCGCTAAGTTCCATCTAGAGGAAGATGGGTTCTCTGGTCCCAGGTAGACATGCTTATTAGGTACCCCCAGAACTTGTACTACGCATACCTGGTCAGAGACCCTGAGTGGCTCAGGCTTGCGTTTTTCAGAAGTTCTTCCAGATGATGTTCTGACTTACAACGATGATGAGGATTATCAGAAAGGAAGAGCTGGGTCAGAGTGTATTTTAGAAAAATCAGTCCATGGTAGCTTGTGGAGGGGTGGAAAGACCAAAGATGGTGCGGCTGTGTGGCCAGGTCTGGCTGCTGCAGCAGCCCCAGTGGAACAATGGGAGAATTCTGATCTGGGTCTCAGCCCTAAAGGCAGCAGAGTGAGACCTTCAGGGGTGCTCTTGACTGAAAGTGGGCTTGGAGTTAGGAATAGTGAGGGAGGTATCACATTGGGCCAGCGTCTCTAATATCCACTGGGCTTTTCCCAAAGGATCAAGAGTGAGGGGGTTCTGGTTACCTACTGTGGTATAAGGAACTCCTTAGCTGTGAAATGGCTGGTAGTCCTCTTCATTAGGAATTTGGTCAGGCACTGTCTTTTCTCAGCTCCACAATTTCTAGAACTGTGGTTGGAAAAATTTGAGTAAACAGAGGCTGGAATCTGTGCTACAGAGACTTGTGAATTCCAGCATCTGGCACCGGGACTGGGGTGACACAAAGAAAAACCTAGGAAGAGATTATCAACCAGAGCAGCTACCCTTGGCCACTTTCTGTGCTTGGGCTTCTATGGAATGGTTTATCCAGGCTCCTTGCATTTGTTGGGGGGCAGGGATCTCTGTGACTGTGTTTTGTGTTCTGTTTTATTACCATGGTATCTCTTTGAGATAGGTAATAATTACACTTGTTAGGGGGAACTGGTGCACATATATTATATCTCAATCATTCTGATTCGCTTTTCCTGCCCACACTCTGTTCCTCCTTAAAGGCTGCCTCCCTGTTTCCTACCATCTCCCCTTTACTTTTATATTTTTATTGGGGTTCTCCTGTAAGAGAAGCCTTGTGATATTTAACCTGTGACTGACTTACCTCAGTTAACAGTGTGGTCTCAGGATAATCTGTTTTCTTACAGATGGCTCAGTTATCTTTTCTGTCATTGTGTGTGTATGTGCCTCATGGTCTTCAGTCCCTGGTCACTTGAGGGGCATCCAGACTGTCTCCACGGCACAGCTGTTTCAATCTGCATGCCATGAACGTGTATGTGTGTGTGTGTGTGTGTGTGTGTGTGTGTGTGTGTGTATGTGACTGTTTCTAGTTAAAAACATCCTACTGAAGTGATGCATGTGTACCCTTGTTTACAGCAGCACAGTTCTGTGGCAGCTGAAGCCACAGGTTCCAGACAGAAGCACAGGGTTCGCACCTCTCAGTGAGAAGGGCATTAAAAAAATTTGTGCCCTTTATGAGATGAGGCTGACACAATCTAGAGTTCCATTCAGCACAACCTTGCACAGTATTACCAGCCACAAGACTAGGGGCAGCTAGAATGTCCCCTAGATCCTTTTATCAGGGAGCAAAACCAGGGGATGGTCCCTCTACCCCAGCCAGAAGGGACACTAGGGAGTGACTGCTTGTCAGAGGGGCACGACTGCCAGGACGGCTGTTGAGGCCATCATGATTCCTCCTCTGGAGCCCAGAGGACGCAGCTTTGAGGGACATAGTGCTGGAAGCCGCCTGCTGACTCAGTCCCAGCATTCAACAGCAAGGCCAGAGATGTATGCTGTGATCCGCTGGCTAGAGAAATTCCTGGTTTTCCTCTTGGAAATGTAGAATGTACACTACTCATTTAATATAGTAATGACTTTTGCTTAGTGTGGCTGCCCCAGCATGTTGTTTTCACTGACTTTTCTGACGTGGAACTTCTGTTGATGAAGATGAGTGGGATGGATGTGCTTTGGAAAATGCTCTTTATGCACGCAGTCCTCTTTTTGGGGTTCTACCTTAATGTGGGCTGCTGTTACAGAACAACAGAGGGAACAGTTTATAAATAATAGAAGCTTATCTTCCACCATTCTGGAGCCTGGGACTCTGAGTTCAAGGTGGCAGCATGATTGGGCTCCCTGTAGACTTCTGACTTCTCCCTTTGTCCTCCATCACAGCAAGAGAGCAAAAAACGAGCCTTTTGGCCTCTTCATCTAAGGCACTAATCCCACTGATGAGGGCTCCACTTATGTAACCTGCTCACCTACTACAGGCCCCAGCCATAAACACCATTGTGCTGGGAACTGGGTGTCAGCCTGTCAGTCTGCGTGTGGGGAGACAGACATGCAGTCCTCAAAAGCAATTAAGCAAATCTGGGATTATTTTGTGGTGAGTGAAGCATGTCTGTCTCTCGAAGTTACTTGTCCTACATGATGATAGCACTGTGACCACACCTATCCCTTCTGTCTCTCCACCTGCTGCTGCCCCCCCTACAAATACCTCACAGCCCTCAGGTTGTGCTCTTGGATCCTCAGGTTGTGCTCTTGGCCCCTCCCTGTGTAAGAGTCTACTGTACTGTGTTGTTTTGGTCAAAATCATTATATAGGCTTCTGTTTCCCTGGCTAAATTTTCAGTGCTCCAAAGTCCAGGAACAGTTTATTGATTGGAAATTACTGCCCAGGAAGCCTTGTTTTGCTGGTCAGCATGAACTCTGAGATCATTCTGCTCTTTGCATTCATGAAAGGAAAGCTGGAACACTAGCCCCCATCTCTTTAAAACCCCCTCAGGCTTGGAGTCTGTTGCATGGGTGACTGAGGACTTCTCCCTTCTCATCACTGTGTGTTTTCTAAAGCGATGAAGCCCTAATGTCAAAGACCCGACTGAGAAGTTCCCAAGTGAGGTGTTTTAGATGATGACATTTTGTGAGAGTAAAGGTATCCTTTACTTGTGAATTGCGAAAAGGAGAAATCACTTATTCAAGTACACAACCTCATTATTTTCTCATCTTGGAAGGGCAGTAAATAAAAGTGGCAGAATTAATGCCCCACTAACCTTAATGCAAGGTTCACAGGAATTTTGGAGAGGCAGAGACAAATTCTTTAGGAGCACAAAGCTTTTTGCTTATCCTCTCACTTTATCCCACAGTGACTGCCAGCTCTCTAAAGTAGTACTTTCTCTGCTTTCCAGTGTCTAATTAGATCCCTCTGGCTAATTAAATCCAGAGGGAGGAGGCTAGCTGGACCTTCAGAATCTCTACCTCCTTTTGGGAGGTGATAGTGGATTGACTAACATAGTCATATAATGGGCAGCACCCAAGAACGGTTGGCCTGCTGTCTTCCTGTGGCTATTGATGATGTTAGGATTGCTGGGTGGACTGAATTGCTTATAAAAGGACAGCGTGGTACTTGCACAGTGTAACTATGGAGCAGATGCTATTTTCATATTTAGTATTGTCAACATCTAATGATGGTGTAGTATGTACTTTGTGGTAAGCATTTGACCTGAGCTTGTTCAAGGTCATAAAACTGCTAAGAGGTGTAGCAGTACTTGAATCTGATCTGTCTGATCCTAACTTACTAAGTCCTGCTATCTGGTTTCTTGTATTCCTGATGATTCTTAGAGAATACATTTTATGAAGAGATGTATAATAAGAAAGCTTTGGGGATATTACTGGATGCAAATTTAGCATGGTGGCTGAGAAAGAAACAGTTTCAGATTTTTCCCATGGCCAGTGACATTTCTCCAGTACTCACTGTGTAAAAAGCACCTGGTAGGGAATGATGGTCAGACGATAGAGAACGAAGGCAGAGAGACTCTGTGAACCATGACAGTAGCTATCTCTCAGAACATGAGCTGAACGCACATCCATCTCACACAGCTGAGCGCACCGGAACTTGGGAGAGGAGGTAGGCAGCCTTCCCCAGCGGTGGGTTTATATTTGCGAGGCCCAGAGGCTGGGGTTTGTGTCTCACAGATGCCTCGATTTTGCCTCTTCCTGCCGGATGGACTGGAATAAGTTCCCCTACCACTTTGAGTCTCAATTCTTTGTGTAAAGGAATGGTACTGACCCTCCAGATTTATTTGTGAAGGGTTAAGGATAGTGTCTGGTATGTATTCAATCAATTTTAGTTCATAAATACATGACTTTCAGCATACTGACAGCAAACTCCCCCCCCCCCCCGGCAACATATGAACAGTTCTTCAGCTTTAAATTTTTTTTTGAGACAAGTCCTTGCTATGCAGTTCAGGCTGGTCTTTAGCTCACTTTGCAGCCCATGTTCTTTTTCCTGAGCTTCCCAAGTGGATTAGAGGCATGTGCCACACCTGGCTCTTTTGAGGTTTTAGATTGGGCACCTCAGTTTGTTATTAGTGAGTGCCTGGCTGCTTGCAGGGTTTCTGTTAAGAGTGGCAGGGCTGTGGATGCTCACTCTGGGAGGAGCTGGGTAGGCACTATGGGCACTAAAGTCTCTTCTCTCTGTGCCTCCCCTGTATCTCTGCTACCGCTGCAGTGTGGCAGTGATGCTAGGAGAGGAGGCTGCACTCAATACTAATGCTGCAGTGCCCGACTGTGTAGTGAAATGCTGCTGGAAATACTTCTTGACCCTCCTGCCCTTAAAGTCAGGAACTTTAATGTGTGCAGAAATGGTCCCTGGCTTCAGCTTCTGCAGGAGTCCCTGGACATGTGTTCAGGAGAAGTGTGGCTGCATCCTGAGATGGCACTGCACGGTGTCTTTCTTTCTACTTTCATCTCTTTCACTGGTTTTTCCTCCTCTTCCTCTCATTCTTTGATTTTCAAGGCTTATTTTCTTCCCTGTCACTTCTTTCCTTCTTTCTTTTGCCTCTCTGTCCACCCTCACTCTTCTCTGTCCTCTTGTGTTGGGGCTGAAGGATCTGCCTGCTAGGGTTTGCTGGCACCTCCTCTCTACTGATTCCTCAGGGGTTTCTTGGTTTTCCTCACTGTGGTCTGATCCCCCATCCCCAAGCAGGGTGGGTGAATGTGTTCTGCTTGGTGTGTGTGGGGGGGTCCTGTAACTGCTCTGTTGAGATTAACTGGACTGTGGAAAGGGTGCTCACTGGGCAACTGAGGACATGTTAGCCCTCATCTTCCACAATGCCAGAAGGTGCGTCGCTGTGCTGAACAGTGGACATATTCTTCCTCTCCGATGATAAGGATTATTGACCTTCTGGTTTCAGATTGAGGAAACTCGGCTCAACATTGACAAGATCTCAGAGCATGTGGAGGAGGCGAAGAAACTGTACAGTATCATTCTCTCTGCGCCCATTCCAGAGCCCAGTGAGTGCTTGCTCAGTGGAGTTGCCCAGCGATGATGACTTTTAACCTGGGGGCAGAGCCAGGCTTGTGATCTTTGTGGTGTGTGGGGCAGGGGAGTGTACACAGCAACTTGTGCTAATGGTGATGGCATGTCACCTCCCTGCCACTGTCAGTTATTCTGTTCATGGCATACTCTGTTCACATGGACAGGCTTTATTCTGCTCCTCCTGCCTAGGATACCAGTGCCTAAGTCTCTTCTGCTGCCTGCTTGACCCTGAGTCCTTGGATCCTCCCAGGCTGTGCTCAGGGCCCTTGTAACTGCCCAGTGCACACCTTGACCACAGCTTGAACTTGGCTCTACATTGCATGCTTCTACTGCTGATTTATTTTCCCCTCAGCCCCACTAAACCAGAATACCTTGATACAAAGTCTGTATTTTCTTCACAATTCTTTAGTTTCTAGCTCCATTCTGTTGAAGGATTTTTTTTTTTTTTTTTGTACCGGGGATTGAACTCATGACCGCCTACTTCCAAGGCAGGCACTTATGCCACTGAGCTAAATCCCTGGTCAGAAGGATTGCTTTTAAATGGATCGAAGCAAATACTTTATCTTGTGCCAAACACTCCAGGATGGGTTTGGGGAGAATGTAGGTGTATCACAAATACTTGCTTCAGTTCAAAGTTGAAAAGCCTTGGAACCGTGAATGAGTCCATAGCACTTTTTTCCTACCCTCCGAGATGAAGCTTTCAATGGTAAAACAGTTTCCTCTAAAAGGAAGGCTCTGGAAACTTTATTTATATCTGGAAATTACCTAGGAAGATTTATTAAAAAGGCAGATTTAGGGCTCCAAACTTCCAGGTCTGGGATTGGGTGTCTGGAACATGCCTTTTACAAATAGGCTGTCTGAGATTCCAGGGTAGATTCTGGGGAACAGGCACTGCCATGGGCCAGATCCTGGGGACAGTGCCTGTCCTCTGTTGACTGAGGTAATTTGCAAAGCAGTCCTATCTTCTCTGATTTTATCTCTTTTGTTTACCCAGAAACTAAGGATGACCTGGAACAGCTCACCTCGGAGATCAAGAAAAGGGCCAACAATGTCAGGAACAAACTCAAGAGTAAGAAGGGGGCTTCCCCTCCCCACTGCAGCCCCCCTGTCCACTTCCTCTGACCTGACTTAATCAAAGCCATGGCACTTCTTCCTCCATGTGGTTTGGGCACTGTCCCTGAAATGGCTTGTTGCAGAAGTTTACCTTCTCAGAATCCTGACCATAGTTGAAAAAGTCTAGCATTGAAGTTAGGAGATGTGAGTTCAAACCTTTCAGCTACTGGCTTGGTCCCTTGGCTTAGTCTCTCAGGTTTCTCTTGCTGGTCCTGTTTTCCTGGCATCTACATTTGATGGGATGGTGATTTTGAGATCTGTAGTTGCAGGGTCTGTGACACAGTCTGCAGATTGTCTTTGCAGCCTAGGCATTTCGTGGTGGGCACCTTCCCATTCCTACCCTTTTGTCCTCTGAGAACTTACTTTGGTGAAGCTGTTGTCACAGATTTGGTTCTCAGGGATTCAGAAGGTTTGCTTAGTTCCATGGATACTGTGTTTTTTTTTTGAACCTTTGGGCTGGAACACAGGGCCTTCACACTTAGCTACTTCTCCTCTCCCCAGATTTCCTTAAACTTTTTTAAATTTTGAGAAAGTCTTGCTAAATTGCTTATGCTGGGGTCACCTCCCAGTTCTGCCTGGAGCGTGGTGGGATTATTGGTTGCACCACAAACCCTAGTCAGCCTGGATCCGTGCTGAAAGGAATTAATGAGTGTGCACTGAGGTCAGAGGGGAAGGTGGTTTTGCTGAGCCTCATCTGTCATTTATCACCAACCCCGTGTGGACAGGGTTGTTCCTGGCAGCTCCTTATAGTGACGTGCAGCGGAGCGCGGCTGTTGGGAGCACTGTGCTCCCCATTATGGGTCTTCAGCTGACCTCCCTGCTGGTATCTATGGAAGGCACAGGTGGGGATTCCTGGATGTGAGAATCCAAAGTGTTCTGAATCTGATGCCGGAGGCAGAAAATGGTCCACCGTGACCGCATGTGACAGATTTCAGTTAAAAAACAGGAGCGATAAGAAATATGGTATAAATGTAGCTTAAGGTTATGTTTATATGTGAATATAAGACATATTTGGTGTCCTGTCCCCAAGATATGTCAGGTCCATGCAGATATTCTAAAACCTGAAAAAAATCCCTGTGAAATGCTTCTGGCCTCCTCACATATTCAGGTGAGATCACTTGGCGTGTACAGCTACTTATCCCGTCGTATAGACGGGAGAACCGATACACTGAGGGACTGTGTGCTTTCTCAAGGTCACACACCTATTCAGTGGCACAGCAAGGATGTGGGTATAAGTCTCCTGGAGACCAGGACCACTCTCTTCATCCCTACTGTGAGACTTGGGAGTAAACAGCAGAGGTGGAGAAGAGTGAGACAGTGGCTCCATGAGCTGGCCTTGGAGGTTGCGCCTACCTGTTGTTCTGTCACCTGGGTTCTACCTGTGTGGAACAGTGTTTCTTGAGAGGAACAGCAGATGTGCTGCTACAGTTACCTTCCTCTCCCTCCAGGCATGGAGAGGCACATTGAAGAAGATGAGGTCCGATCGTCAGCTGACCTTCGGATCCGGAAATCCCAGGTAAGTTGATCCTGGGTCTAGCAGTCATCTCCAGTCCTTTAATATTTTTTTCAGCTTCCTGTCTCCCCCCCCCCCTGCTTCCTTCCCTTCTTAATTGGAATTCAGCTTGAAGAACTAGTAAAGGGGAAGTGTCCAGACAGAAGCAGGGTCAGGGCTGGGCTTTGCCCTTTGACCCTCCTTTCTCGCTCTCCTTCTTTGAGGCATCCTCGATTACCTCCTGAGCCTCTCTAGAGCACAGCTTTGTGTGTGCTTATCTTCACTCCGCTGTCCACTCCTCATCTATTTTTGGTGGCATGAGGACTGAACCCAGGGCCTTGTGTAGTCTCCTCCTTTTATGGGCAAGGAAATTGATGTCTTGTTAGTCTTACGTTGCCCGGGGAATAAAGCACTTTAGAGATCATCACAGCTGGGACCCCTGACCGTAGAGAAGTAATGTGACATCCAGGTAGGACAGGAAACTACTACCAATGGGCCAGCATAACAGAGTTATAAGACATAAGACATAAACTGATGGAATCCTTTGCATTCAACAATCTTGAGGGGAACTAGGGGTGACCAGAATGCCTGTGTGGACAGGCTTGGGCAGTGGGGTTTCCCCCTTACTCATGCATGTGTGTAGGCAGCAGCAGTGGTGGGGATCCAGTAACAAGAAGAGGACAGCATGTCTGGAGAAAGGTTTGTTGAGGTGCAGCCATGTTGAGGGGCAATGGAATATTCAGAGGCCTCTGGATACCTGTTTGGGAGACTGGATCTGATCCAATAGCCTGTTTCAGGACATTCTGGTGGGTCTACTTTGAAAGCTGGATATGAGTGGGAAAAAGACAGGAAGTTGTAGGTCTCTAAGTTTTGCACAAATTTGCAAAAGTTTGCTCTGAATTTTCATGTCAGGGTGGGTCTGGAAGAAGTACAGATGTTGCTTTTTGTGAAGAAGAAATGACTATGGTGGGGATGTAGGCAGAGAGTGCAAGGTATTATGAAACTTTGGGTTAGGCATCCAGGCCTGTTGAGAGAGTATAACTGCTTGTTAGCAAGAAAAGTTGGGAGGCTCAGTGAGAATCTAGGGGGTGTTTGCCAGACATGATAGGTGAGCATGGAGATGCTAGCTTAGAAAGCAAGCCGGGGCAGAAAACCACTGCTAGTGCAAGTAGGTTCACAGTTACCACAAGAGGTCAGCAAGGTAGGCAGAAATGCTGAAGCCATGTTTTGAAACTGGCAGTGGACTCTTCCAGAGGCACTAAAGACCATCTGCTAAGGAACCTCCTACTTCCAAACTCAGTGCTGCTGGAGACCAGGCCATGTGGGTTGGGGAAGGGGTTTTATGGCAGTCACAGACCTTCCTTTTCTTATCTCCCTGCGGTGGGCTTACTCACTTAATGTTGTTCCCATAGCACTCTGTCCTCTCCCGGAAGTTTGTGGAGGTGATGACCAAATACAACGAGGCGCAGGTGGACTTCCGTGAACGCAGCAAAGGGCGAATCCAGCGGCAGCTTGAAATTAGTATGTTTGAGATCTGGCATGTGCCGGTCCTCTGCTTGTTCTGCCATGTTGCTGTCCATCCCTAGATGGGAGGCTCTGGGAGAAGCAGCAGCAGCACTGCTCATGGTCTCTGTGCCGTTTTGCCCTGAGCCTAGAGCAGGTGTGGCAACATCAGCACATCCTGAACGCTGTGTCTTAGGCTGGAGGGGCTCAAGGTCTGTCAGGCTTGAGTAACTTTATTCTGATGGGATGTGGCTATCGGGGAGACACTTGCTAAACACTTGGTCTCCTGTGGCTTTGCTACATTTCTACTGTGTTAGACAGCAAAGCATGTTTACAAAGTAAAAGGTGTGGAGCTAGTTGCTATGAGGAATAAGGAACCCAATAAAGCTGTGGCCTCTAGGAGTTTAATAATATGGAAGGCAGGCCCTGCAGGGCAGGTGTACTTCCGTGGGAGGGATGTGATGTGAACAAGGGTGCAGTTAAGAAAGAACAAGTATGTTTGGGAGGTCCTGGGGAGAGGGTGTTTGCAGTTGCAGGTCAGGCCCCTGTGGGCTGAGGGAGGGTGTGCCCGTGAACAGTGCTGCGTTATGAAGGGCCCATCTCCTGGGAGGACCACGTGGGGCCAGAAAGTAGTCTGAGCCGGGAGACAATGGAATGTGTAGTAGGCACTTCAGGAAGGGAACTCCTGACATTGTTAGGAAAAGGAATCTGGAGGCCATGGGGAGTGTGTGTGGGTTCTGGTCCTTATGGTTAAGCCTCTTATTTCTGGTTTCTGAGGAGCTGTTAAAGTGGGGTGTGCTTTGAACTTGTGTTTGATATTCCACTTCTTTTGTTAACAAGCTGGCAAAAAGACTACAGATGAGGAGCTGGAGGAGATGCTGGAGAGTGGCAATCCTGCCATCTTTACTTCAGGGGTGAGTGACTGAGCCCTTTGCAGGCACAGGAGAGTGGCAACATGGAGGTGGGCAACTGGAGTTCAGCAGGAGCGTGTTGGGGCTGTGCAGAGGCAGCCATTGCTGCAGTGGTGCCAGCATCCCACGTGCGTGTGCTCGATCGTAGATCATCGACTCCCAGATTTCCAAACAAGCCCTCAGTGAGATTGAGGGTCGGCATAAGGACATCGTGAGGCTGGAGAGCAGCATCAAGGAGCTGCATGACATGTTCATGGACATCGCCATGCTGGTGGAGAACCAGGTGAGTGGCAGGGTGAGAGGAAGTCCCTGCTTCTCCCAAGGGCTGTGGGACTGTAGGCGAGGTGGGGTGGGAACAGCAAGTTCAGCCCCTACCTGTGCCTATGCCGACCCTGCGGTGTCCTGCCCTGTCAGTCCGGCCTGTGGCAAGCAGTCTTTTCTGATTCATACCATTTTCATGCATTGTGTAATATCTTGTCCACTCAGCCTGAGGATCGATTTATTCCTTCCTTTTTAATTTTTAAAAATTTATATTCGAGTTCTTAATGATGTCTTAACATAGACTTCTGATATGAACCATTTCATTGTTGACACTGAAAACCTATAATCTTTTCTTGGTTCGAGGTGAAAATGTAGTACAACTTCAAATGGAGGTCTTAGGGCTGGGGATACAGCTCAGAGGCACAGTGCCTGCCTGGCAAGTGCAAGGTCGTGAGTTCAAGTCCTAGTAAAAACAAACAAACAAACAAAAAAAAAAAAAAAACAAAAGATTTTTAAAAATGCTTTTTCTTCTTGTGTTTTCAAAACTTTCTGAAAACTTTTGCACTTTTTGCTAAGCAACAAGAACAGACATGAAAGAAATAGTCCAAGAATATTTACAGGTGGACTGGAAATACTCAGGTGCTTGGCAGGGTAGGTGTCCACCCAGCCCCTCATCCAGGGACTCCTTGCTGCCCATGGCCCTTGTCTTATGTAGTCAGGTGGCTCCAATTTCTCACAGGGCCACGGGGCCATACGGAGGTTCCATGTTCACAGGCGCCTTGGCTGCACTGCCACCTGAGTAGGATGTAAACTGCCCCCTTCATAGATAGGCTAGGCACTGCGTGATGGGTGTGTCTCTGCTGTGGGGTGTGGTGTCTTCCTCACCCCTTTTCTGCCCTTGAGACCATTTCTCAAGTCCCTCCATCCCGAATCTTCTTTTCTCCCTCACACTGCCTTGCCGAGGAACTGGTTTGGAATTCAAGTGATGGTAAGTCCCTAGCTGTTTATAGAGGGCTGATCTGTGAGGGTGTTAGATCCAGGAGGGTTGCAGGAGTGAGGGGAGTTCCCATCTTCAGCTGCCTGCATGTTAACAGCAGTGACCAAGCTTCCCTGTCAAGAGTAACAGCTGGAGAATGGGGGGATCCTTCTTAGGAGTCCATTGTCTATGTAGGAAGATAACCCAGATCACCTAAGTAACCTCATATATGTCATTTATGGGTCCTGGGAACTTCTCTTGAAGAAAACATATGTTCCCAGCCTCTACACTCACTGGAAACCTGCTATGTGCTATGTACTATTCTATAGTAGTGGCTAAAAACCTCATGAGGGCTAAGTGACCTTGGTTCAGTCCTGAGTGACCTGGAAGAGGCTTGGATCCTGATTATGCTCAAACAGCAGCAGCAGCAACAGCAACAACAAAAACACAAATCCCAGGATACTATTTTTGCCCATCCCCCTATGCTTAAGTTTAAAAAAAGGTGGGATGGGTCCCTGAGAATACATTCACACGTAGTCACCAGGCTTCTGGCCAGTCCAATGCAGATGCCTATTCAGTAGGGCTGGGCATGGAATGGTAACTAAGTGAACATTCCTGACTCCTGACCTCCAAGCCTGGGAACTGCAGGCTGCTTCACGGGAAGAGTGTGTGGGTGCCCCCCAGGTCCTCAGTTGCTTCTCTGGGCACTGATTGTTAGCTCAGGCTGCACTGGTGGGCTTATTGGGTGTGACTCATCTCTGTTCTTTGCAGGGTGAGATGTTAGATAACATAGAACTGAATGTCCTGCACACAGTTGACCATGTGGAGAAGGCACAAGAAGAAACTAAAAAAGCTGTAAAATACCAGAGTCAGGCCCGGAAGGTGAGGTTTTCCTGCTGTCTGCAGAGGCCAGAGTCCATGCTGTTTGTTGTCTCTATCTCTCTGTTTCCACTGCCGCTGCCACTTGCACCTTGATAAAGGGGGCCATGATTGATCGTATTGAGAACAACATGGACCAGTCAGTGGGCTTCGTGGAGCGGGCTGTCGCAGATACCAAAAAGGCAGTCAAGTATCAGAGTGAAGCTCGGAGGGTGAGCGCCATAGTCTTAGTTGGCCTGACCTGCTTCTTCCTCTGGTCACCCCATCCGTGTCTCTGGGCCCACACCTTCCTCCTTGTAGCCTCACCTGAAGTCTTTCCTGGAGTCCGTCCACCTACCCTTCCCCCCAGGCTGTCCTGCATGGATCTGGCTCACATGCTTTCCACATGAGAAATGCAGCCGTGTAGGACAGATACAGAGCCAGGGGTTGCTGCTCATCCAGCCAGCCACTCGTAAGCCTTGCAGGTGGCACGTGTGGCTCCTGTTCTTCAGACTCCTCCTTTTTGTGGTTTCTCCTGCACTGGCCCAGGCATCTTTTTCTCTGTCTTGTTTGTAGCACTGTGCTAACAGCTACGGAAATAGTGCATTTGGGGAGCAGCTATTGTTTCCTACTTTCAGATAAAACAGCTGAGGGCTGGAGGCTAAGGAGCCGCCTCAGTCCACCTAGTAGCAGAGCTGAGATCCAAATACAGACCCTAATGGTGTTCTCGCAGCACTGCTGTCTGTGTTTATGGTGCACTTGCTGCTCAAGGACACTGAGCTTCTCTGCTCATGGACTGTGGTGTCCAGCTCTTGTGGCATCTGTCTTGTCCTGTTCTTATCTGCTTATTTCTCTCAGGCTCTGAGACTTTTGTTCTTTATCTTCCACCTGTCGTGTATGCAGGCATTTAGGGAGGTGGGGAGTCATTTTATACCACAAATCTGTGCTGGGCCATACTTCCTGGTACCCATTCAGTACTTGAGGTTTGACAGGCACAGGTGGGCTTGAGGGAAGAGATGAACAGAAGATGGAAATGAGGACTGTATAACATTTCCTCTTGAAGAGGAAAACTGTAACTTGGGCAGTTTCTGCTTATTTCTCTAGTAGTGGTCTACATCTGTCCATGTATGCAGGACCAGCTGAGGGCTGAGGAAAAACCCTGTATTTCAGTGTGCTGGCACTGCTAGCCAAGAAGTAACTTAAGAAATAAAATATCCTTAAAGAATGTCTTCATGTAGAAATAGAAGCTTCTCACTTGGAATGGTGAGACAGCTTCTATATGGAGGGGTTGAGTTTTTGACGTGTCACTATTCTGTAATAATTTGTTTTCACCTGTCTTATTTCTCCAGAAATTGATCATTATCATTGTGGTAGTAGTTGTGTTGCTGGGCATTATAGCGTTGATTATTGGAGTTTCCGTTCCGAAATGAGAGCAGCCTCTGGGCTGCTGCACTGAAATGTAAGTATGGCTGGTCTGGGCCTGGGGAGCGGCTTCTCTGAGGAAATAAGCCTGGGGTTTCAATCCAGCTGCTTTGTTTCAGGGACTATTTTTAGACACAACAAATATCCTGAAACTTGGGGGTTGTGAGCTTCTTCATATCCTTAAAATTCTCTTCTCAGGCTCCAGTGTGGAACACGGGTCAGGTCTCTGGCTCCTTCTTGTCCTGCACATTCTGTCACTGTTCTTTCTACTGTCATGTGTTTTGTTTGTCACCTTTCTTGGTGCACCTGACTCTCCTGCCAACGCAGTGAGGGTGGCAGCTAAGCGTAATCTCTTAGATCTGGGGGCTGTCTTCCGATCCTCAGAGGCTCTTGGAAATGCTGGGCTTTGCTTTCTATCTAAAGGGAGCTTTGAGTTAGGGTTGGGCCTTTAGAATTTTATTTGTGGCTAACTGGTTGGAATCTGAATGAGATCATAACATTTTTGAGCCGGGCCTAACAGTCTACTAAATACTGCAAACACACATCACTGAATGACAACACACTCATGGGTAGGTGGGGGCTTTCACAGAGAGAGCAGCTTAGTCTTGGTCTTTTCTATTTGAGAAAGGGTCTCATGATGTGGTTCAGGCTGGCTTGAACTCATGCTGATCCTCTCAGCCTCTGATCCTCCTGTCTCAGCCTCCACAGAGCCATGTGCCACCATGCCCAGCAAGGAAGAGTTTAGTCTTAAAGAGAAGTTAAATAACAGGGCCAGGTTCATACAGACAGTAGTTCACTTAGGGAAGTTCTTTACTACATCTTAGCTTCTCTTTGTAAAATAAAGAAGCCATTTGTCATTGTCTGTAGAGCCTAGAGAACCTCAGAGAATGGGGTTTTAAAATTTAAGCTAGTTTCTTTAAATTTTATTTAAAAAGATAGAGCTGACCACTGTCTCAGGTTTAATAGTGGTTGACATGACTACTTGACAAAATCATTATTGGGATTACTAAGACTTTTGTCACTTTTGAAATACTTTTTCCTGAATACAGCATGCACTGCTAAAAAAAAGCCTACAAATTTAAAAAAACACCCTAAATTAATTCTTAATATTATTGCTGATAATCTTGTGGCATTCACATACACAGTTTAGTTAGTTCAGACTGTATTATCTATAGTTTGTTCCCAGTTACAAAATCATAAGCATTATTCCACATCACTAAAATCTTAAAATGTAATTTTGAGCATGCAATTGTGGATGTACTCCCAAATATTTAATACTTCTTCAGTGTTGGAGTTTATTGTACTGCCTTAATAGTGTGACTAACCTTATGTAATATGTGTCTCCTTTTTCTCTTTATTATGAATTCATAGAAGTTGGGTTACGGAGATATCATACAAATATTCTGAAGTCCTGATACTTCCATGTTGATATCCACAGGGACTTTTTTCATCTTGTCTTATTTTCTTTCTTTTTCGTTCCTTCTTTTTGAGACAGGACCTCCCTTTGTAGTACAAGCTAGTCTCCAATTTACAGCAATCCCCCTGCCTCAGTCTCCTGAGTGTTGAGATTATAGGCGTGTGCCACCATGGCTGGCTCCTTTATTTTTGCCTAATATTTTTGTCTCTTCATCATCTTTCCATGTGATGGTAGGGTCTAGAAGTTTGGATTATTATTGAGTTGCTTTGAGAGAAAAGCACTTAACCATAGGCTCTTTTCCTTCTTTCTCTTCCTTTTTTTGGAGGGTGGGGGGGCATTTAGAAAGTACAGTTATTGAAGGCTTTTTGATTATTCAAATCTGAGTGTTATTCTGAGTTTCAACTATCTTTTTTTGGAAAAGATGTTAGAATAAAAAATGGTGTAATACTTGGTAGCTTTCCATATGGCTGGAACATATCTTGTAAATCATGGTGTTCTTCCAACATTCATCCCTCATTCTGGGAATTCTGAATGTAAATCAAAGAGACTCATATTTTTAGTTAACCCAATCTCTAAGATGCAGCTGAGTAGCCGAGATACTTGTCATAGTGCATCCTGTCCAAACCGATACTGCCCAGGTTCAGACTCCGTTACCCTGGGGTGTCCTTTGCACTAAGGGAAGGGAGGCAGTCACTTTAAACTCCCCACTGGTATGCCAGTCTTAGGGTACTATCTGCACTCCCAATTTAGACGGGATTGTCTTTGATTAGCTGGGTGTAGTGGTTATGCCTGTAATCCCAGCAGTGGGGAGGCTAAGTCAGGAGGATCGATGCAAGTTTGAGGCTAGCCTGAACTACACAGTGAGACTTTCAAACTGCCCCCCCCCCAAAAAAAAACACCCCCAAAAACTTACCCAAGCTTAAGGTGGAATAGCCATAATGTAACCTTGGAACTCTTCCATATTCTTTGCACTGTGCCTTTCTGCTTGCAAAGAGAAGGGTAGGTTCAAAGGGAAGACTGGACTGTCAGAAAGCCTCCTAATCTTGTATTCAAAGGAGGACATTGTCAGCCAGTGATTGTCCCCACGTAGGTCCCTGAATAAGTGTGTGGCAGCCTGTGCCACACGGGTGTGCAGAAGCCTGGAACTCTGGCCCTTTTCCTCTCCTGTGATTGATGGGGACCTGTGTTCTTCACATGGAATACTGACTCCTAATCCTGCCGCAGGTTCATCTGTGGTGTGGTGTGGTATTTACTCCACTGCTCTCCTTTTCACAGTTCTCTCTGCTCTTTCCTCTCTCTCCTATGTTTGTGGCTGAGGCTGACTTCTTCTGCTCTCCAATTCCCTCGTGAACACTGATGAGCTCCTCTCCCCACTTCTCTTAGAACCTGATTTCACTCCAGCCTGGCACAGCTGCCCTTGTCTTCAGATGGGAACAAAGTCCAAGTGGCCTTCCTGAGTGCAAGGGGGACCCATCCCTTTGTGTCCTGTAGCCTTCCTTGGACCCAACTCTGCAGCCCTGGAGGAACCTAATCTACTTGATGGCAACCACACATTCTCCTCAAAGCCGCCTCCCGCCCCAGCAACCGAAGCGCTTTTCTCTTGGACTGTCTCAGCTGCTCCAGCTTGCTCCCTTCCTGTGTCACACTGTGCCTTGTCCCTTGGGAAGTCCACGTGCGACTGTTCAGAGTGCTGTATGTTCTACCTCATGGAGTATTTTTTGTCCACAAATTGCAGTGTACTTTTTTAGGGGAGTATGTCTAACAAAGCAGAGGGACCTCTCTAGCTTCGGCAGCAGAAGGGCTTGAGTGGTCTTCAGCCTGACAAGATGCCACTTTTTAGACTGTTGTCCCTGTGTCTTGGAAGCAGGGGGGACCAGCAGATGCCATTTTGGTTTGGCAAGTTGACTGCTTTGAAATCAAGTGCTTAACAAGTTCAGTTTTGGGGCTAGGTTCCCCTTCCTGCGTTGTATTCTTTCATGTTTACTCAGAGGAACCAGGATGATTCAGTCATTTGAGGTTATCATTTGCAAAGGCAGCTGTGTGTGAGATTCATGTACCTATAGGTGTCTATCTGACAGGAAGCAGGAAGCGGGAGGTAAAAGATACTATGACATCACAAAAACCAACCAAACACAAAAAGCGACTTGAGGTAGACTAAAAACTAGGTGAGGAACCTCTGCTTTCCTTTCAGGACGAGGCTCTTTCCATGCTGTCTAGAAGCTTGTTTTCTGGATGAGCATTGGGAAATCCAATGAGCTCTCTGGAGTGAGGACTGAGTTGATCCCCGTAACATTTTTTCTGCATAGCAAATGGGAGGTGTAATGCTTGCACCTTTCTGCAGCTGCTACTTATTGTGAGGCTTGTCCAAAAGCCGTCCCACAGCAGGCTGGTACTAGTCACATGACCTTCGGGATGGCCTGTCTCTGAGGCTGGGTCAGCTGAGACAGGCCAGAAATTGGAGTGGCTCTTCTGCTCTGGATTAGTGAAATTCACAGCTTCTTTGTTTCCTCTGGTTCTTATCACAGAGGAAGCAAGAGCCAGGAAGTCTTGCAGTGATTGCTGACCCAGTGGTGGGCCCTTTAGGTCCCTGCTGGTCTCATCAGTCTTCCTGATTGAGTTGCAAGCTCTAGGACAGGGTGAGTACTGCCTGTTAGCTTCCTTTGCAAAAGTTCCTCATTCCCAGCACTCAGATAAGAGCCACAAGCATGCCCCCTTCTACAGGTCATGACGTCTGATAGGGACTGGCTTCACAGTGGGTGGCATCTGTGAGGGAGATGAACTCTAATCCCAGGCCTTGGCTTCCTTCTGGAGACAGACCTGGTGCTTAAACCTTGGAATGCAACATGTGAAGGGCATTTCTTGTTTGTATTTTTTAATGTAAATTTGATTATTTTATTGCTAATTTAAAAATAAATGACTTTATATTGATTGTGAAATGGTTCTACCTTCCTGCAAAGCACAGAGTAATTTGGTGCCACTCTGCGGTGATTTTTGTTCCGGTTTTGGAATAGATGTAAACCCTTCCTCAATGATGGTTGAGAAGTTCAACTTTTTGCCAATGGCTTAATTTCCCAAATGTGTATTTGCGTTTGAACTGAGGGACTGCCTCTGAGGGAGTTTGGAAGTGAAGGTCTGTGATGCTGCCTGCTGGAAGGTAAGGCAGAATAGTGTCCTGGCTGGCCAGTTGGCCAGCCATGTTGATCTTACTTTTGGATCTTTTGCCTGGAAACATTTCTGAGAGCACCTGGGCCCCGGGAGCCAGATCCATCTCCTATCCTTATGCTCCCTTCCCCTTCCTCCCATCCTCTTGTCTGCAAACCCAAGCTCAGAGCCCCTATCCCCTGTGATGCCACTTCTCATGTGACTTTTCTCTCCTTGCCTGGATGAGCAGAAGAAGATCATGATCATGATCTGCTGTGTGATCCTTGCGATCATCCTGGCATCCACCATTGGGGGCATATTCGCCTAGAAAGGTGAGCCATGGCGGGGTGCGTTGGGGTAGGGTGGGGTGGGGTGGGGTGGGCCTGCTTCCAACATGACACTGGTGCTCAGGATACCACTGCGTTCTGGGGGCTGAGGAGGATCAGTGCTCCTGTAGGGTTAGAGCAAACTAAAGGGATGTTTCAGGGAGAACAGTGAGTCTCGAGTGAGTGAGAAGCCAGTGGTCAGAGGAATAGAATGGGAGGCAGAAGGCAGCTGTCAGTCCCACAGCTGAATCTGGTAACACAATACTGTACTCTGAATAGATAGGGTAAAGGTGCAGAATTAGTTTGCACACTAGCTGGACCCAGAACTGTTCAGAAGAGAGCCACAGCAGATCTGCATCAAATAAATGTCTTCCCCTCCAAGGTAAAGACGAGTTAGCTCAGCCTGGGGAAGGGGCTGGTGGTGCTGGCCACCATCATTAACTGATGACTCCCCTGGCCCACCGTTCTGCCCTCACAGGTGGACCCTGGACTGGCATTTCTAGTGCTCTTTCCACTTCTGGTGCCATCCCTTCTCCAGAGCAGACAGCTCATCAGCCATCCCTTCTTCCATTAGGAAACTTCTCAGGATGCTGGGCACAAATAAACAACTTCCAAATTATGCAAAGGCAGAACACATTTATGAAAACATGGAGTTGGGTGGGTTGGGGGGGCAGAGGGAGAAGAAGGGAGGGATCACAGAGGTGCAAAGCAGGGGAGGAAGGAATCACAGAGGTGTAGGGGGGAGGTAGGTGAGAGGTGGGGGGGGAGGGAGGGACCACATGGTGTACCGCTGTTTGGGCGAGGTTAAAGGGCGAGGCCTGCAAGGTAGAGTGGACACACCAGTTTTAGGTCACACTTGAAACTCTGACTGTGCAGAGGTGAGCATTGCAGCCCACCCAACTTCCTTTTCTTGCATTACTGGGATAGAACATGCAGACACCACAGTTAAAGGACATGTAGCTCATGGTTCCTAGAGGTTTCAGGTCAGTCCACTGGCTGCATGGCAGGGGGCAGCAGTTCATGCTGGTGGAGGACAGCAGAAGCAGCAAGAGGCCTCACCAACAACGTCCTGCCCCTTTTATATTGTATCTAAACTACGGGGACTAGGAGGATGCCAAATCAGTCACTGGGAGTAATCGCACACCCTTAATTCTAGCACTTTACACAGTAGGTTCTGCCACCTCTGAAAATGCCCCAGCTGAGACCACCTGAGGTTTTGGGGTGGGGGGGACACCAACCACACTCCCCATTCCCCAGCACCCAGGGTCTCTGTGAACTGCTGCAGAGGATCCTCACCAGAACACTTGTTGCTTCTGCTTGGGGTTCTTTCAGTCTCACCCTTGGGCCGTCAAACACCTGCTCCCTTGATCAGAGACTTGTGAGTCCTCAAGGCTTATTGAAGGATGGGCTTGTGCCTGTCACTCAAAGATGTTCAAATATGTGCTGACCAAGGGACCTATAATCAGGCTGTGATTTCACTGAGAAAGAACCCTTGGGTTTGACGTTGATCTATAAGACATCAATAGAAACATGGGTTGTTGCTGTCAAAGGCTGTGAAAAGTTGCCTGGCCATGGGCCAAGCCATTTATGTACAAATGCTCCAGCAGGCACCCCTAATCACAGAAGGTGCTATGAAGTGTTGTCTTTGTGGGTGGCAACGCAGGAGTCCTATCAGCACTCTGTATCCCACAGCTGAGATCATTGTAGAGGGTGGCCCGGTGGAAGAAGTTCTAGGCGGAACTCCCAGCAATCAGCAGTACCAATCTAACCCACAACAAAGGAAATACTAGTTCTATATTTTAAGGCCACTGTGTCCTTTACTAAAAAAATAAACATTTCACTTTGAATCAGCATATTTCAAATGACATTAAACAAAAGGAAGTAGAGACTTGTGGAAACTGAGAGTTCAGTGTGTTCAGCTTTAAAAACAACTATGTATATATGAATTTTTTTTTTTTAGACAGGGTCTTGCTGGTCTTGAGCTCACTTTGTAGTCCAGGCTGGTCTCGAATTTGTGATGATCCTGCCTCTGCCTTCTGAGTGCTGGGATTACAGGTGTTTGCCATCACATGCAGCTGTGTATATAAATCTAATAATTTAGTGATTATATTGCAAGAGGGTCACTAAAAATCTATTTAAAAATTACAGTATATAATTCTTGAGGGTCAATCCAACTGTTCAAATTTGTACTCTTAAACTAAGTTCACTTTGTGTGTATGTGTGTGTGTGTAGTACTAGGGATCAAACGTGGGGTACTGTACTACAAGGCCCTATCCCCAGCCCTTTGTCTCAAGACACCCTTAGTAAGTTGCCTAGGTTGGTCTTGAACTTGAGATCCTCCTGTTTCAGCCTCCCAAGCACATGGGATTACGGGTGTGCACCACTGTACTTGGTTGAAAGTAAATTCTTTCTTTTAAAGAAAGTATAATTAAAATATGACTTTTCCTCAGTGTGCTGTCTTCTGCCCACTTTCAAAAAGCCAAAATATGTTTTTAAATACTTTAAAAATTTGAGACAGGTTCCCATTAAATTGCTAAGTTGTCTAGGCAAGGCTTGAACTTGTGAGCTTCCTGGTTTGGTCTCCCAAAGTGCTGGGATTACAGTTATGTGCCACCATACCTAGCACAAATGGCTCAATATTTCTGTTAATCTGTATTTTCTTTAGTTTGAAGAGGGGCAGAGACTACAGCTGGCTGGCTCTAAAAGACAACTTTACCTCACTGCAGACAAACAAGGAAGTGGGGTCAAGGGGCTGTGACTCACGTGGAGCCCCCACTCACCTAGTGGTGCTGATCTGTGTGCTGCACTGTGCAAACCCTGTGGGGACACAAGGTAGCACCAACCTAGAGAGCTCTACAGAAGCCCAGCTTCACCAGCCATCGTTTTTCCTGTGAGCTGAATTCCTTGGCGCCAAGTCCAGCACTCCTTCTTCCAACACTGAGGGAAAATGGGTAGCTGGGCACCACTGAACACTGGCTGAACTGGGTTCCTTATGTTCTGTCATTTTCCCTTGTCTGTGACTGGGAAAATGTCACAGAAGCCAGCCCCTGACGTGTGGACAGGAAACAGGCTGTGCAGAAACAGAGCCAGGCTTGCAGCAGGGTGTGAAATGCCTGAAGACAGTTAAGTCTATGATGCAGCAGAAGCCAGAGGTGTCACCAATCATCCTGACTCTCCTGAGGGATTTCAGGTGACAGCAAGAAGCTACACTGAGGGGATGCTCAAACTTTAAAGAATCAGTGGCAAACAGAGTTTTTCAGAAATTACTATGTGCTGCTCCTTAGTTACAATCTAAGAGCGACCTGGAGACTTCAAGAGGAAGGTGGGGAGAATAAAAACACAGACTCTTGTCCCAGTGACCGAGGCATCTATGTTACTGTGCTCGTGCTACACACGGTGGGGCAGGTAGAACTTGCCCCAATACCGCCCCTTCTGGGTCAAGTCGTAGGGGCTTAGCACCTTGCGTATGCCCAGCATGTTGGCAGTTGCAATGCGCTCAAAGGTCCAGGGGTTTTGGTTGTTCCGTTCTCTTTCCTTCTGGTCTTTCCGAATCTTCTCCAGTGTTTCTCGGCTCACTGCCTTCGCTGGGAAGGGTAGCTTGTGGGCAACCTGGTTCAGGAAATTTGCCACCTCCTTGAACTCACAACGCCCTCCGATCTCTACTAGGAGGCGGCCAGCCTTCACAGGTGTCACATAGTGATCGATGGCCCCTTTGCCACCCCCCATGCGCTGCCCGACACCTTTTCGGGTGATGGGCTTGAAAGGTGGTGGCACTCGCCATATGCCGAACATGTTCTTGGCATCCATAGACCGGTTGATTGTCAGGCGCATCATTTCAAAATGGCCCCAATGGAGGTAACCACCTCCAAGTGCCTAAAAGTAAGAGAATCAGAAAGGCATGGGGACCTGGGTGTCTTTCAGGGCCAATATTACTATGTCTTCTTTTATGGTAACTGTGGCTCTAACCACACACAGGAATATGAAAGGAAGTTCTCAAAAGTAGCATGGGGGAAAAAAAAAAAGCTTAGAGGTTAACAGTGATGAAGGAGATACAAGGGACCCATTCCAATGACAAGGGAAGCCTTTTTGAGAATGTGACATTTAAGTTGAGGACTGAAATAATAAGAACCAGCCAAGGAAAAAGACAGCATAGCTCCAGTCAGAGATACAGCCATGGAAAGACCTGCAAAAGCAGAGGGCTGGGTGACTCTGAGTGGAAACCACATGGCTGGAGTGAGGAGAACAGACAATAAGCATGAGGTTCTGGGAGGCCAGAAGAGGTGGATCATGCAGCCTGGGGAACAGGACTTCATGATGTCACTCTGGCTGCCTGCTGTAAAAGAAACCCCAGTGTGCAGCCACTCATGCTAAATCTTTGTGGAAACCATTCAACAAGTAAGGAAATAGCTGCTCCACACCCAGGGCATGGACTGTTTTATTTTTACCCAGAGGCTTGAAACTCATGTCCTGGGCAGATTAGGTAGCCTCTTTCTACTTTCTTGCATTAGCACCACTCACCCCACTTCATTTTCTGTGGTTTCACTTATAAGTGGTCAGCTATGGCCTAGAAATACTAAATGGAAAACCCCGAAATAATTTGTAATTTTTAAGCTGCATGCTTTTCTGAGTAATGATTTTAAAATTTTACTTCCTATTCTGCTCAGTTCTTCCTGGGATGTGAATCATCTTTGTGCAGCATATCCACACGACTACCTGCCTGTTAGTCACTTAGTGCCCAGCTAGGTTACTAGACTGATTATCACAGTATCAATGCTTATATATATTCAGCACTATCCTCAGTCTCAAGTATCCAGTAGAAACTTGGAATGTATTCCCTATGGATAAGATGGGGAGCAACTGTACTTCCATTGTACATTACAAACAAAACCAAAAAAACATTGCTAGCTTTCATCACTCACCAAAATCCCGAAACTGCCTTCTGTGAACTCAGTAGCTTCAGTGGAAGGTCCTCGTATATCACTCAAGTTTTTGGGTTCTCGTCTTACTTTTGGCACAAGTGGTGCCCTTTCAATAAACTTAAGCTTGGGCCTTTCTGGAATGGAAACACCTACAAGACCAGAGACAAGCAAGAACAAACAAAATTACTATCTCAAAGGATCTGCTTTCTCCCAGGAAAGATTAGTAATACTCAAGTGAAATTACAAGAAAGTTACCACTGAGTAATTCTGAAGATATATAACATCCTTCTTGTGTATACTTCTAGTGACACCAGAGTCTTTTGGTTATGACAAACTTTTGAAGATAGCAAAATTTTAACCTTCAAAACAAAATGTATTTACTAAATCCCTACTCTATAACATTTGTAACAGGGACTGTTTGAAAACTGCTATTTCATCTAATCTTTAAAACAATTTTATAGCCTTGGCACATGTTTTAGGACTTCCTTTTTAAAATTAGATGTTTAACATACACATCAAAGGGCCAAAACAAATAAACAGTCAATTATTTGAAAATAAACACATGAACATACACTGATCACCCAGGTTAACAAATAACAAATGTTATTTAATATCTATTTTATAGAAGAACCCAAAGCCTAGAAGTATCTATAATTTGTTTCACACTATCCAGTTAAACAAGCAAAGTCAGACAGCATGATTCTTTTTTTAAAAAATTACTGCCTCTGGAGGTTACTGGAGACAGTGGAGACAATACATAAAAATATCAAAGTTAAATAGTTCTGTCACATTTTGAAACTTACAACTCAGGAATCCTCTGATCAATGCTCTTTCTTTTAAGCATACAGAGGTTCTTCAGCTGAGCGCTGTATATTTCCTATACTGCACAATGGTGTTCCTGCTGAGTGAGGGCAGGCAGCAGGATTTCAGGCCAGATATGTGGCATCTTTATCAGCTTTGACAACTTGGGGAAAAAAACACTAATTGTGAGTCATTAAAAAAAATTTTTTTTTCTGTAGTGAAAGAAGCATGGTTCCATCTGAAAGTAAACAGGGAATCGGAGACTTCAAGAAAGTATCAACACTGGATACATAACATTATGTTTCAAGTTACGGAAGTTACTTTCTCCTCCCAACATCTATGTTCAACTACTAAGTTATTAATACCTTTTTTTGGTCTACAAGTCAGTATGTACTTCCAGAGAACACATCATTTAACAATTATGTGTAGAAGATAATGCCATCTAATGTCCAGTACCCTTCAAGATTTTTAGTACATTAAAAAGAATGATACGTTACATTTACAGAATTGTGACTTCCTTAAATGTTTACGTTAAATAAACATACTTTTCACAAATGGTTAGGTGACTTAAATAAAAAGACCAAATCCGAGGTCAATGAGCTCTGGCTGAGAGGACCATGGGCCACATTCCAGAGTGTGTGCAGTAGCTGGCAACAGGGCACCCAGCCCATTCGACACCCGCTCCTTAAGAACAAGGAGTTTATGGCTTCTCCTTGACACCGCTCGGCAACACCTTGCGCCTCCCGTACGCACATGCAGCAATCCCGACCCTCTGGGACGATGAGGCGGAAGTTCGTATCCAGCCTGGGATAGGGCTGTAGGTTCTGCCACTGCACTCTACACACTATGCCTTGACACAGTTCTGCAAGGGAGGTCGGGGAAAGCATGGCTGTGCCTCATCACGATCGTGGCGGGGTCTCACCTTCGAAAGTCGGCACCGGAAGCAGCGTCTTCAGGCCGGCGCGGGTAGCAAGCGCAGGCCCCGAACCTGCAAAGACGAGACTAGTTAAGTGAGAAGATGACGAGTCACCCTGGGCCTCGGGAACCCTCTCCTGGCGTCCGCCGCCCGCCAGCTTTTCGGGAAGCCGCCCAGACCCCTGAACCCGGAGCCAATAAGGCAGGGGAAGAAAACGGGGAGAAGGCCTCCAGAGGACCCGAAGGACTGCCCACCTGACAGACGCGCCCGCAGGAGCGGCGCACAGGTGCGCGCCAGCAGCTGCCACATGCTCGCGCGTCCTGGTTCCCCTCTGCGGTGAGGAGCGACGCTTGAAAGCCAGTGTGGAAACCAATGCTGACGCCACAGGGCCGGGTCGCGAGCCGGAAGTTGTGCTCACGCTGGTCCGTTCCTCAGAGAGTCCCAGCGGAAGCGGAAGAAATCGGAGCCTGGGATCTTGGTTCCGGAGCGGGTGTGTCCGGGTCACGTCCAGGTGTGGCGTCCGCTGTACCATCTACGGCTGTTTTGCTGTCGGTTTACAACACTGCGTAGGCGTGGGGTTTGCCCAGCTCGCCAGTGCTTTACTCACGGCATCGCGTGCCAAAAGCGCCACGGATTTGCTGTTGGTGTCCGGCGTTCCCCGAGGATCCGCCCGCAGGGGTTCGCAGCGCCTCCCGGGCTGTCACCCCGGGGACCCCGTGCGCGCCCTGGGCAGGCCGAGAAAGCACCGTCGTCCTGGGCAGAGGCGGGCGGATCCTAAACCCGGCCCGGGGAAGAGCTAACCGGGCAGAGTGTGTCTTTCGGTCCCTCCTCAGTGAACCAGTGAAGGTCTGTTGGGAAGGCCCCTTACTTAATCGTTAAGTGAAGGGTACTCGTGTGCGTGTGCGTGTCTGATGCGGTGTTACATCGATGTCAAAGTGAGAACACACACGTGTGTGTAGGTGCGTGAGCATGGGCGCGCATGTGTTTTACATATTAAATAATCCTCACGCGGGGGCCTCTTATCTCCCTTGGGTTCTGCCGGGTGGGAGGGGAGCTGGCTTTCCTGGTCACTGTGACTTTTCAGAGTCCCCCTAGCTTTTCCCTCGTTTGTCTTTCTCATCACCCTAACTGTGTCTACCTGTGAAGGCAGACCCTGCTTTTAATAAGTTCCTGTATTGATCTTAATAAGCTCAATGAAGCTTTTATCCTCCCTTCCCCTACCTGCAGGATCCTCTGCCCCTACCCAAGCAAATAATGTGTAATTATAATTTGAGGAGAACGATGGATAAGTAATTTTCAAGAGCCTGAGGCTTTTTAGTAATTAGAATGAGAGAGGATCTTTATCCAGGCTTCTGGGCCCCAAGTGGGATCAGCAAATGAGTGAGGTCTGTTAGGCTTAAGTCTTTCACAAATGGCAATGTCAAAAACTGTGAAAGACTGGCAAGGGCTCTGGGAGAATGCTGTTCATAATTTCATTCACCTGCTCCCTGAATAGGCTCCCAAAGAGGTAGTGAAAGCTGTCTCAGCTACTCTAAGGACTTCATTTTAACTTGGTTACCTCTGTAAGTGCTTGGCAGAAAGTCACCAGCAGGCTGGGGCCTGGTGGCTGGGTGGCTGAAAATGCACTTTCCCTCCTTCGCTGTTTACATCACTAGTGATAGATAAGAGCCTCACAAGTTTGGGCTTTCAAACTTTAGCTTAAAGGGATGTAACATCCTCTAAGTGGGTTAATGAGGCCCAGAGATAATAAAGTCCAGTCAATGGGTGAGAGATTAGCAACACCTCAAGGGCTCAGACTACAGGATGACAGCCACCTAAAAATAAACAGGGACCTACTTTCCCTGAAGTAGGTAAACAGCGCATTTTATTTCTAAGAGAACAATGACCTCAGGGGAAGGAAAGGATATTCATTGAAAGGCCCAGTTAATCATCCAGATATAACCTAGGACCTCATTCAGTGCAGGTCATTTCAGCACTCTGCCACCTTCATGCTTGAAGGTCATTGTCTCTTTCTGAAAATCTATCCTTTCCCCAATAATCTCTGCATATACCCTATATCCGTGATGGAAACTCTGAAGAGACTGGGGACTCCCACTGCAACCCCAAACTCACTTATTTATCACAAGGTGCCAACACTGCAACTAAATACAGAGGTTTGAGTTTAGGTAAAATAATTCATACGTGAACATCTTTTGTCTTAAAAACAGTAGCAGATGTGCCGAAGGTTTGGCCACCACTGCTCTGTAAAATGTAGTCTTGTCTGAAACCTTTCGTCAAAGACACAGAATAAAAGTGTGTGGTCAGTTCCTTGCTGTGTTACCCAGCTTGCAGGTAACAGATGGACCCTGTCTTCAAATAAGGTCCCCTTCTGAGAGATCAGGGTTAGAACCCCAACATGCAGAGGAAATACAGTTCAGACTACAGCAGGTAAGTCAGAAATGGTGAGATCGGGGCAGGGAGATCTTTCTTTATTGTTAAAAACCTAAAGTGAGGAACTAGAGATTCCCTTTTTCCATTGGATTGCAATGACTGTCTCCTGGAGCAGGACTGAGCTAAAGGAGGGGAATAGCTTTGTCTTTGGGTGGAATTCAGAGCTGTAAATATCACACAGTATTGGACATTTTAGGCATCGAAATGTGAATGTGTCCTGAGTCTAGAAGTGACAAAACAGGTTTAAGAGTTATTTTTAAATTAAAGCTAAATGAGGAAATGTACAACATAAAACAAAAACCCAACTACAACAAAACCAGTCTCACTGAGTTGATTGGATGACAGTAAACTAAAGTTTACTTCTCATGGCATTCTGATGTCCATTTATGTAATTCAAATACTGGTTATAGGTTAGATTTCATATAGTTTAACGATGACTAATAAAATACTTTTCGCTAGGTGTGGTGGTACACACCTATAATCCCAGCACTCTGGTGGCTGAGTCAGGAGGGTACAGTGAATTCAAGGCCATCCTGGGCTACTTGTGAGTTCAATGCCAGTTTAAACTACATAGTGAGTCCTAGTCTCAAAAAACAAAAGAAAATCAATTCTTTGATTTCATTTATTTTTGCCTTTGTTTCTGCATTTGCTATCTGCTTGCTTGTATACTTTGCCTATTTTAAATTGCATTGTCCATTTTTCTTATGAATTCAAAACTGCTTGTGTATTAAGTTTATTAACTCCTGTCTGGTTATATATGTTCCAATCTTTTTCAGTATATGTTACTATTTTTTTTTTTTTTTTGTCTTTTTGAGAATGCAGTTCAGGCTGGCCTTGAGCTGACTCCCAGGCTGGTCTCGAACTTACAACAATCCTCCTGCCTCAGCCTCCCAAGTGCTGGGATTACAGGTGTGTGCCCCTGTGTTTGGCTCTCTTACTATTTTGTTGAGATATGGCCATTGATAATTTTTCTTAAGTAAAACCTGCCAGAAATTTTGTTTTTTTTTTCTGAGAAGCTTTGCTAGGATTATGGATTTTAGTCTATTGACACGTAATAATCATATATATTTATGGAAAAACATGATGTTTTGATGCATAACTGTATAATGACATTGACTTGTACAATAGCACCTGTTTGGGCCAGAGGTAGAGATCTAACATAATTATTCGAGTTGAAAATTCTCATATAACATGTAACTTTATAATGTGCTAAATTCTCACATAGTTTTTTACATCCCTCTTGCCATTTTATTCCATTTCCATACCAAACATTGGTGCTGCACTGTTTAAATTATCATCTGCTTACTACACATTTTTACATGTGTTTGGGCAAATTTTTCATTATTTTTAAAATTTTTCATTTTTGTACTCTGCTTTCTAAAGAACACTTGTCATGCTTGTTCTTTAAAATAAAACTTAGAATCACTTTGTTAATTTTTATACTCTGTTTTAATTTTCTTGGCTAGAGTTCTTGTGCCTATAACTTCAGAGCCACACTGAGTGGGACTCAGGCTTAGGCTGTGGTGAATGATGGGTCCTCAGTGAGAAGGGCTGGGGGTGGTGTCGACTGCGTCCTCAGAAGTGTTTTCTCCACTCACACACTAAGCACAGGTCCTTCATGGTCGTGGTTTTAGGGCACATTGCATACAACTCAGGAATGGGGTGAAGATACCAGCTGGCACTCCTCCCTCCTTCCTTGGATGAACACCGCTTCTGAAATTCAGGCTTTACCATCCCTGGCCGGCAGAGGGCACAAAAGTGCTTTTCATCGTCCCTGAAACCTGCACCAAATGTGTGCTTGACCTGGTGGAGAGGAGCACAACTCAGGGAAAGGATTGAGGGGCGCTGTCACAGGTCGATCCATTTTTTGTGAAACCCTGTATGTGTGAGTGAGCATGGTGTTATCTGAAATGTGCATCTCCAAGAATGCAACGCTTAAAACTTACAAACTAAGAGTTTTAGAGGAGATTCTAGGCCAAACTTCCACAGGACCTTTCAGTTGGCTGGAGACGCCCAGTCCCATGAGCGCTCACTGGCGAGCACGGAACACCTTATGAAAGCTTTCTGGAGCCCAGATCCCCCCACTCCCGCATCGTATCTGTAGATTACTTTTTCCAACTGGAACTGAAATAATTACATGTATTGTTATTCATGGAACCTTGCTAACTGGTGGAGATTTACTGAGCTCAGCGGCATAAGCACCTGCCTTGCAAGCAGGCGGTCGTGAGTTCGATCCCTGGTACCGATAAAAAGACAAAAAAGAGAAAAAAAGAGAAAGCGAAAAGTGGTCCTTGCTTGTGGGGGCACATGAAAGTGTGAGTAGAGACCATAAAATAAGATGAGCACAGGAATGGTTAGGTTCCTGTCTGCAGACGTGCTTCTGGTCTTGGTTTTGGTTTAGTATTTTTAAGACTCCTTTGTCACCCGTTTAAAAAAACTCAGCTATGTTGATAAAATCCCATTGACTGTTTGCTCTTAGATATTTTGCTGGGAGCTACATGACCCAAAGATAAGGATCGGGAATAGGAGAAACAAGAGGATCACAGCTTTAAAAAATCCTTAAACTGCATAATCACCCCAAATGCATAAGGACAGAGTAGACATCCTCTACTCAGATAATGACAAATAGAAACAAAGTAGAAAGTATGTTGGAATCATAGAAAAAGTTAGACATGTCTTGGAAAAACAGATGTATCATAAATTCATGTGATTTCCTGCTTCAGGGTACTCACAGGTAAATTTATTTTGCATTATTTTCTCACTCTTTCATCACTTAATGGCAGTCACCTTTATTTTAATAGCGCATACACAAATATATATTTTAAGGCACTTTCTTAAAGCGGAACTGCTACTTGTTATACAAGTTTCAGTATCAACATTTCTCTGCCAAACCTTTGCCAGTAAAGATGAGCACACACACACACACACATGCACACAGGACTTTTTGAATTTTTATTCATGGCTTATTGATTTATTTTTAATTTTTATTTTTAAGAGAATAAAGCTAAACAAATCAATACTACAGAATAAAGTCAACCAAAGCAAAATAGTGAAAGCAATACAGGACTTCAAAACAAGGAAGTCAACAATGGCTACCATAATGCCTTTGGTATCTTCAAAACAGCTGCTTATGCCACCAGACATAATAAAACCAAACCAAATAGAACAGAATAAAAACCAAGCACAAGAAAACAATGAAAATGATACAGGACATCAAAAGAAAATAACAGGAAATTAATAATGGTTACCACCTTCCCTTTTTAGAGGTTTCTTCTTCCCCTCCACTTTTACAATATCTATTGTGCATTTTGGATCCCACTAATTCCTTCAGTTTTTTGTACTAGGGGGAAAACATGATGTTCGCTCATGTGAGACTGAGTCATTTCACCTCAAGTTTCATTCATTTACCTATGAGAGCTTCATGATTTTTCTTCTTTACAGTTGAGTGGCTTTCCATTGTATAAAAATGCTGTGTCTTTCTTATCCATTCTGTGGATGATGGGCAAGCTACCACTGCTTTTTTCTGGTTCCCTGTCACATGGAGCAGTGTTTTATCTTCTTTGACTTTCAGTATATGAATTTTCTTTTGAGTTAAATGTATACAGCATATTGTATACAGCATATTGATGGATCTTGTTTCTTGATCTACTTTCCATGTATTTCTTTTTTTTTTTTTTTTTGGTAAATTGAGGCCATCTACATTAATGCTTATGGCCAATTTGCACTGGCTCATTTCTGACATGCTTTTTTCTTGCCTTTCGCTTCCTACTTTTCCCCTCCATTCCTTGTCTGCCCTGCTCAGTGATCCCACTCTGTTGCTGTTCCTGGGACTAGGATCATCCTTATTTCTCCCTAGAATGTCCTTCAGTACTCTTTGTAGGGCTGGTTGGGTGGTCATGAATTCCTTCAGTTGTTCTTTGTCATGGAATATCTTGTTTCTCCATTAATTTTGAAAGATAGTTTTGCAGGATACATAAATCTGGGTTGGAAGTTTTTTCTTTCAGGACTTGAAACACTTCACTCCAAGCTCTTCTTGACATGATGGTTGTGTTGACAGTATAGATGATCTGTTTCTTTTCTCTAACAGCCTTTAGTATCTTGTTCTTGTGTTGAATTTCTGGGATCTTACTTTTATTTAAATTTATTTTGATTATGGATTTAGATTTATTTTGGTTTAGATTATTATTTAGATTTATTTTGGTTATGACTAGTTGGAGTTCGGTATGCCTCGCTAATCAGTATGTCGTGTCATTTTCTCATGCTTGGAAAGTTATCTGCTATTACTTCTGTAAATAGTCTCTTTATGTCATTTGTGTTGAGTCTTGCTTTTTCACTGACATCTATTATTATTCATTTATTTTTCTATGTGTCATCTTGTAGGCATTGAATGTTACTTCCTGGTTCCTCGATTTTTTAAGAGACCTTTCTTTTGCAGTCACTAGCTGCCATCCTGTCTTCAAGGTCTGAAAGTCTTTCTTCAGGTTTTTTTTTTTTTGTTGTTGTTTTTTGTGCTGGGGATTGAACTCACGACCTCACGCTTGCAAGGCAGGCACTTATGCAGCTGAGCTAAATCCCTGGCCCCTTTCTTTAGTTTCTTTCAAGTGGTTTTGCCAGCTTTCAATGGTGTTTTTAATTTCCTGGATACCTCTTTAGTCTGTTTCATGCTTTCCAATTCTTGTGCATATTGTTCATTCAAGGTTTCCCTCTTCTTTATGTTCCTTTTGAAAAAAATCTATGTCTTTTATTATATTTATTATATTTGTCATTTCTCCTGAGACATTGTTTCTCATCTGATTTCTTTTACAGCCTCATGAAGTAGTTTCTTTACTTCAGTTGCCATCATCCCAATTTCAGCTGTGTGGCTTTGGCTTTCTTCCGTGTCCATGTCTCCTGGGCTTGTTCTGTGTGGTCTGGAGCCAGAGATTGCCGTTTGCTCCTTCATCTTGACATTTTCCTGGGTTCCTCCAGATAAGTGGGTTATAATGTCTCAGGCACTTCTCATGTTGACTACCTGTCCACAGTGTAGGGGGATGGGTCAGGCACTTGGGTTTCTCTTAACCCAGGTTCCCCTGGAGGCAGTGGAGTACAGAATGGGCTTCTCCATACACTCAAAGTTTCTTCAAGGCTTGGCTTGCTTGTTCTCCTGGCTTATGTTGGCTACCCAGGGAGAGTCCTGATGGACTGTGTGCACGTGTGGGGTCCAAGCTGGCTGCTTTTCCCTGCCCTGTTGGCTGGCTACCTATGGAAGAGTCCAGATTGGTTGCCCAGCCTATTGTTAAACAAACAAAAAGTCATCTTTGCTTAACATTTTTCTCAGTTTCCAACTCCTCAACAACCACACTGTGTGTTGGATGAATAATAGTTAGAAAGCAGTGAAGGAAATGAGCACAGGTACTGAGAAGGGTCCCACACACAGGTCTTCACTGTGTGGTCTGTTTCTCTCACAAGCTGTGTATCATGTACATCTTTTTTGTGTCACAGTCTTTTCTTTTCAGGGTGAATTTAGTAACCTGCAGGGACCCATCACAGGGCTGCACCAGAGTTCACGTCTGTTGCCCCATTGCTGGGCACAGAAATGGCTTGTGCTTTCCGGGTGACCACACTGTGCTATGCCAAGGGGAGAGCACTTTATTCACCTTCCCGAGGGGTCTCTCCATTACCCTGACAGTCCTAGGCTCCTTCTGGCCTGTAGGATGAGGACGTGGGCCTGTGTGGCTCATACCTGTTCCTCTCGGGAGCAGACTGGTAGAGAACAGGCGATTGCTCCATAATGCCTGAGCAGGTGGCCGATGGTGAGAAGGTCAGTCTGATTAGTGCAGGGCTCCTTGTCAGCAGTGGTGTCTGCACACAGGAGCCTGTTCCCGGACAGTCGCAGTGGGCAGTTTAATCTTCACACATCTGTGTCCTCCTGGGATCATTCTCTCTGTGTATATGTCAAGATCATTATGGACATCCAAAACGTACCCACCAACCTAACTATGTATATATATAAAAATTGGGGTTTTTCTGGTTTCAAGTTAAGTCCAGTTGTCGTTAAGTATTGTTTCTGGGATCTCCAGGGATTCAAAAATCTGAGGATGATCATGGCATAGCATTTGGAGAGAACCTATACATACCCCTCTGTATACATCAATATATCTCTAGGTGACCTGCTTAATAAAGTATAAATACTGTGTGAGTGGTTGTTATACTGTATTGTGTTATTTAGACAATAAGTCATTAAAAAATCTATGTGTTCATTACGTTCATTACAGATTTGGCTTCTTTTATTTTAAAGAGATTAAAAGAAATCAAAGCTAAACTAAGACAGAAGAGTAGAAACAATATAGGATTTTGAAACAAGCCAATAGGAAATTAACAGTAGTAACTATATTGCATATTGTTATCTTCAAAATAGTTGTTCAGGTTACAAGAAAAGGCCTGACAAACAGAACAAATAGTATAAGTAATCACAGTTTCTTTCCTTGAACTAATAGTATCAATACGACAATTATCTTAGCTATACAGATTTAGTTTTTTAAAAAATACTTCCCATCTGTAGTTGGCACGATTTGTGGATATAGGGCTAGTGATTATGGAAGCCAGTTGTTTTTTTTTTTTTCCCATTTTCTTTTTTGTCTTTTTTGGTACCAGGGATTGAAGTCACGACTGCCTGCTTGCAAGGCAGGCTCTTTGCGGCTGAGCTAAATCTCCAGCCCCTAAGCCAATTGTTTCTTTTAGGCCTTTGGTTACACATTTTCATCTTCCTCTCTAAGAAGTTTGTAGCAAGTCTGAGTCCTACCACAGATTACAGTTATAATTATGTTTCAAAGCTTAAATATTTTTCAAAGGCCTGTATCTAACCCTTAGGGCACACTACTTAAAACTTTGTATTATATATAAAATCTACATCAGATTTACATGTAAATATATTGAAGTTATATAAAATATACTTAAACAAATGCTACTCAGAGTAAATACTAGAAATGGAAGAAGAAAGAGCATCATTTAGGAGTTCTGAACCATCTGAGAAATATCATATGAAATAACTTTGGCCATTTGATGTATATTAGTTTGTGTGAATGTATGTTTCGATTAAGTGATTTCAAAAGGGGCATTTATTATAAGACACACAGACAGGAGATTTAAAAGATACGTTATTTCATTTGTAGAAATAGGGAGTGGATTGTTGAATTGATAAAAGTTGGAATGATCTCCAAAAATATCGCCGGGCCACTCCTCCCCAGCAACCTAGAGCAGGGTGTTACCTTTCTTCTGACACCCCAATAGCAAGCTCTTTGTGTCACTGAAAACTCTAAAAGGTTCGCCATTGCTGCCTTAGTGTTGAATGATGAAAGACAGTCATTGCACTCAGAAGCTGGGGGTTTTATTTTCATGAGTCACGTGTTGGGGCATCATTTATTCTATACAGGGGTTTCTATGTTTTAACTAGGAATAAGGGAGTGTCGTAGATATCCACTGTTTTTCCCATATTTGAAATAAAGTGGAAATCTTCACCCACTTCCTTCTCAGTAGTGGGTGAAGTTGGCTGTGATGTGCTCATGGTCGAAGGGTATGTAGTCAGCAACCCCTAGAAAGAAGCAGAGCGGAACCTGAGGTGACTATGGTGCAGATCCGACACCAAAGCGCCTGCCCATTAAATGCCAGAAGAGTTAAATCACCTGGAGAGAAAGGAGCTGTGTAGTTAGTCTGGAATAAACATATAAGTGGGATTTAAAACATTCATGTTTCCTGTCTGTTACCACTGATACATTGTGACAACTTGAGAAATTCAGAAGTTTAACTGAGAGACTGAGCAGGGAGCCTGGATCCTTACTTTGTAAATATCCTCATCCTGTGCAAAAGGAAGGCACAGAGATTTTGTGAGTGATACACTCTCCTGGGCGGGATGTGTGTGTGCCTGTGTATAACAGAAGGGAGGAAAAGAGGCTTGCTCTTTCCTCTTTGGTTCTGGCTGCTGCCTTGAAGTGTTGCCCCAGTGCCATGTCTCCCTAACTTGCAATCAGCTTGTTATGGACTGAAATCTCAACAAACTGTGAGCTAAATAAACCTTTCCTTTCTTCATTTTGTGTGTCATGTATTTTGTCCCAGCAATGAGAGAAAAGTAACCAAGACAGAATTTGGTACCAGTGGAGTTGGGTCATTTCTGTTACTATATTTTACTATGTGGTTCAATAGCCTTTGTAAATGGCTTTTGGGAAGAGTTTGGAGTGTTTTTGAGATGTCTCCTGAAACAGTAGCCCTGAAATGCCTTAGGTTGTTCTGTAAGGGGATTCTGGACAGAGCTCAGAAGACTAGAAGGCTGATAGAAATCCTGACAGTAAAGACCAGGCTTGGGAGGTTTCTTCTGGAAAGGACTACATTGGTTATTGGAATCCAGATGATGTGTGTTATGGCTTGGCAGAAGAGACTTTGTCTGAGACTAAGATTAAGGATGGTGGACTAATTAATGCGACAGAAAAAATTTCAAGGCAGTTGAATGTTGAAGCTGTGGCATGGCTAGTGTTGGAATCTTTTAGCCAGATTTATGTTGCAAATCAAGATCAAAGAGCCCAGTGGGATGATTTAAAACATTGTGAATTTGGTCAGAAGAGAAGCTCCAGTAAAACTGTGAATTGCAAAGATAGAGCTGAGGAAATCTTGAATTTTGAAAAAGAACTGGAAAACAGGAATGTTGAAAAATATGGCCTTTAAGTACATGAAAAGCAGCAAATCTGAAACCTTTGCAGCATCAAAACTTCAAAAATGAAAGACTTTGCTTTGAGGCAAAAGTCACAGAGCATAATATTCCAGTATGGTGGTAGCAGAGAATCTTTCTCAGAATTGGATTCAGAGCACCAAGCCATGCAGGCACTTGACACCTACAGACAAAAGAGAGGAGACCCTGGCTACTGCTCCAGCTGGCAGCAGATCTCAGCATCATCCATGGGGTGCTGGTTTTAGGTGCACACAGAATGCAAGAGTTCTGAGGTTAAAAGGCTACCACCCAAATTTCAGAAGGCCTGGGAGGCCAGGCAGTATCTGAAGCTGTGACTGTGAAGCCAAAGGTTCAATAGAAAACTCAGAAGGTTGGAAAAGCCAAGAATGTGACTCACCTAAAGAAAGCTGCAAAGACAGAGCAAAGTGGGTCTAAGAGAGAAGCTGTGGGAGCTACAACCACCAGAAGTATCATGGGGGTGGAACCACACAAGCCCTTTGGAGCTTACAGTTTGCCAAAGATTTCTTCACATGCTGGATGTGTGACTACAGGACTTAATATTTGCCCTGCTGGATTTTGGAAATTCTTTTGTCTCAATCCTTTGTACCCTCCTGTTTGTATCTTTTGGAATGAAAATGTTTATCTTGTGCCATTTCATGTTGGAAGTGTTTAACTTTGTTTTCATTTGTACAGGGGCTTGTAGCTAAGGTTAGCCTTACATCTCAGAGGAGACTTGGGACTTAAAACTTTTAAACAATGCTGAAACTGGCAGGACTTTGGCAACTTTTGCAGATGAACTAAATTCCTTTTGCATAAAGGAATATGCATGAGTCTTTGGGGGTCACGGACAAAATGTTATGGTTCTAATATAGTATAATGTTGATAGACTTAATGCTGGTTCTTGAGGATTGTTAAACTGTGTTATAATGTTCAAGTTGAAAAATGTTAAGAATAAGCATGCCTTTGTATCTGAAGGCTGGTTTAAAGAAATGTGTCTGCTTTCCAAGTTGACAAGGGGTGTTGTTACAGTTGATAATATTGTGTTAACTTGAGAAGTTTAGAAGTTTAACTGAAACACTTAGCAGGGAGCTAGATCCTTACTTTGTGAATATCCTCATCTTGTGCAAGAACAGGGCACAGAGATTTTGTGAGTGCTAAACTTGCCCTGAAAGGAGAGGGTGGCTTGTGTGTAATATAAGGGAGGAGAAGATACTTTTTCTCCCTCCTTTTTCTGGCTGCTACCTTGAAGTGTACCCCTGTGCCATGCCACCCTGTCTTAGAGCCAGCTGATTATGGACTGAAACCTTTACAGACTGTGAGCTTAATAAACTTTTCCTTCCTTCACTTTGGGTGCTGAGTATTTTGTCCCAGCAATGAGAGAAAAGTAACCAAATCACTGTCTCTATCTCACCACTTAGTGGAGATCTTTCAGCATGCCTCTTGAGATGTGCCAGCCTCTCTTTCCCTCAAATTGGGTCTTAATTATTGTTCTTTTTGCTGAGATAAAATACTCGATACTTAAAGTTAAAGGAGGAAAGGTTTATTTTGCTCACATTTTGTGGAGGTTTCAGTCCATAGTCAGTTGGCTCCAAGGCAGGGTTGGCATCAAGGAGGACAAATAGTTCAAGGCAGAACAAAAACATCAAATGGAAGCAAAGGAACAGGGACAAGCACCTTCTGTCCCTTATATCCTTTCCAGGCTACCTGTTCCCGGAGTATCACTCATACCCTTAATCCTGACATTGTACTTTGACTCAATACCAACCTTACATCCTTGATCTGGCAGAACTGAGCCAAACCATCAGCAGACTGATTTAGTAATCATACATCCTAGATCCAGCCATCTCTGAAAAGCCCCACCTATGACTGCATGAGGCTTTGAGGGGACATCTAAATATAAGCACAACATTTAGGAATTTCATAATAATATTTTTTCTGAAGACCTGTCTTCAGGAGCAGAGATAATGACTTTCAGGTGCATAGTACTGTACTCAATAGGTAATAGTTGTGAAATATATTATTTTAAAAATGGCTTATGTAGGCCAAAATTACAGCATTCAAAATTGTATCTCACATTAATTTTTGAAGATTTTGTGAGAAATAAGGAAGGACAGTGGGTTGACAATTTTTGTTTCCCAGGACAGGAAAGATATGTGTTGACAGCATCCATTATTTTTCACATAATTCAGGCAACAGAAAAATTGATAATTTTAGGGTACATAGTGACCTGTAAGCCAATCTGAACTACATAGTGAGATCCTGTCTCAAAACAAATGTAAGCCTAATTTAAATTCCCAGGGCAATTTCTTGAGAAAGGTAGTAGAAAAATGAAGCTAATATAAATAATAAACATTTTAACACATTCTATGCAAAAGACACTTTAATAAATTAAAAAACATTAGTCCTAATCCTCACAATAACTCAGGAAATGGTTATTGTTATTTCTGCTTTATAAAGGTAAAGACTGTGGCCCTGGAACAATGGATTACTTGAATATGTAGTTTGTAAATAAAAAAGGAGCTTCAAATTTTGTGTGACTCCAATACCATTCTTATATGATCTTGCAAACCTACAAATTATGTGTCACCAGGTTCTGTTAACTGTATGATAGATGCTAAGAAAAGTATCTCTTCATTGTAAGACTGGGTAATGAAACCATTTATATAGCTATAGCATTAGTTGGGCTGTGACTTGATTTGCTTTTACAGTTTCTCCATATGGTAACGACTAGTGTCAGCTTGAGAGGTTACATCACCCTTGTTGGGAGCCGCGGCCGACACCAGTCGCCTTACTTGGCGGACGTAGGGCCTGTGGGTGGGAGCGGAGCCTGAGCTAGATTGCCCCTCCCATCGAGTGAGCCAAGTTGGCGCCTGCTTCCTGCCCCCTGATTGCCCTGGCGACTTAAACAACCCGCTCTGTAAGATAGTCTGCCTAGCAACAGCTGATGTTAGCCAGTCAGCCCGCATCGCGCGCTTTGAACTGATTGGCTACTGTTGCCCTATAAAAGTGAATGCCTCTCCCGCCACGAGGAAGAAGCACGAGAGAGATAGAGAAAGTCCACCGGCGAGAAAGGACTGGTGGCAGAGAGGAGGCCTCGCGGGGCCCACGCGGAGACAAATAAAGGCAAGGTTGCACACCGCCAGACTTTGTCGTGTGTCTTTCCTGCCGGCCGGGAGCGACACTGACACACCCTGAGACAGAGCCATGCGCCAGTGCTATTTAACTTGGAGAATATTATAGTATTTGTAGAAACTTTAATGGATGCTAAGATTTGGTTGGAATCTGAGTTTTATTTTTCTATTAAAACATGCAGGCACAATTATTCCTTTATTTAGACATTTAAAAATAACATGAAAAAGGTGAAGAATGGGTTTCTTTCTTTGTAGAAAAAGAGTCACTTATAAAGTTGATTTATCTACATAAAAATTATGTGTATGTCTTTGTATATGTGTAACTCAGATGTATGATTGTAATGACATACAGAATCTGAGAATTACTTACTGATTACATGAGTGAAAGAGCTAAATAATTAATAAACACAGCCTTTAGACTCCAGAAGAAATAACAGATCTTTTTCTTTGCTTACCTTCATCCAAAGGTATCCCATCACCCAGGAATTGCCAGTAAGTCTTGTGATTTGCATTTGCAGCAATGCCATTGATAGAAGTAACTATAAGGCCCCAGGACGTCATTGTTGTTTCAAATCTAAGAACAGAATCACACGTGATTAACACCTCACTTTAGGTTGGACCATAATGGGTGAAATGAAAGCATAGTGCCATTCTAAATCCTCTAAAATTAGGAAAAATCATGCCCAAAGGAGAAAAATACAGATGATTAATAAACATGAAATCACTTCATTTAATATTAAATGATATTAAAATGAATGATTTTAAAAAGCAATGATTTTAAAAAGCAACTGTAGTGGTTGATTGATTGTGTCAACTTGAGACAGTTAGAAGCTAACTAAATGGGTTTAGCAATTCTACACCCAAGGATGTAGAATAAGAGCCACCCTAGGGTGGGTCATCACCTCGAGGTATAAAAGGGGAGGAGGAAGGAGGAATCCATTCCATTCTTGGGAGAAGCTCCAGTCTTTGCCTTTGGTTTGGACCTCGCCTCCTGGCTTCCAGTATAGATTCTTCAGCTTTCCAGCATAGACTCTTCAACCTTTTATCACAGAGCCTTCGGCCTTCTGTCGCAGACCCATCAGCCTGCTGATGTGGACTTGCACAAGACACTAGGGTGAACTCCAGACCTTGGATTGAATCCTTTGGCCTCCAGTGCATAGACACCCTCTGCACGCTTTCTCATGGACTCTGTGACTGACTATCGTAAGCCAATCTTGTTGTTTCTGTATATCCCGGGTTATATCTGTTCTCTCTAGTAAAACCCTGACCAATACAGCAACTTAAAAGTGTAAATGCCCAATGAGTGAAAAAGTAGATGAGTGACAGAGTGAATATCCATAATTGAAATATTGACAATTACAAAATATTAAATTTTTAATAATTTTTAGTAAAGTGGGAAAACACTTATGTAGAAATATTAAATGAATATATGAGATTGCAAATTTTACAGAAATATTTGTCCTGTGTAGACAATGGATCACAACCATTTATGATATTCATAGGAAATGATCTGATCATAAGTTCAGATGATAGCAGTATGCAGTATAGTATTTAGGGGCATCTCCTTCTGAGGGTTGTAGCCAATGTTGATTTCCTAAGATCTTGTTTTGGATAATTTCCATTGTTTTATTGGGTTGGGTTTTATTCTCCTTTGTTTTGTTTGATTATTTCAAACCCAATGGCAGGAGAACCTGTTTCAAAGATAGCAAAATATACTATGGTAGCCATTTTGAATTTACTATTGGCTTGTTTTGAAGTCCTTTATTGCATTTATTGTCTTGTTTTTATTATTTGTATTCTTTTCTATTCTGTTTGATTTTTACTATGTCTGAAGTTATATGTACCTATTTTGAAGACATCGTAATTCCTTCCTCTATTGTTCATTCAAGGTTTCCATGATTTTCTTATGCTCCTCTTCTTAAAAAATATATGTCTTCTTTAGATAAGCTCAGAAACTCTTTCATTAGGTTTGTGATTTCTTCTTTTACCTGAGACATTCCTGATCTGGTTACTTTTACAGTCTCATGAAGATGTTTCTTTACTTCGGTTGCTATCCTCTCAGATTTCAGGTGTGTGACTTCCATTTTCATCCAAGACTATATTTAGACTTATTCTGTGTGGGCTGGAGGTCTGAGATTCCCTTTTGTTCCTTCATGGATATTTTCCTGGGTTCCTCCCAACAAGCCAGTTGTGGTGTCCCAGGCACTTCCTATGTTGGTTGCCCCTCCATGGTATAAGGGAATGGAACAGGCACCTGGGTTCCTCTGACCTCAGGTTCCCAGAGAGGTAGCAGAGCATGGGGTGGGCTTCTTCAGACCTGTGAAGCTATACTTATTCTTCCCTGGTGGCCAGAGGTGCATGGTGGTGGTGCTTCTTCTCAGCCTGTGTGTCTGCATGTACCAGGACTCCCCTGATGGCAGCAGGCACACAGGGATGTATCTGTCTGATTCTCCTGGTGGGTGCAGGCTGTTTGAAGGAAGCAAACCTTCCTATGGTGGCAGCGGGTACACTGTATATTCTAGATTTTATGCTGGTCCTCTTTCTAAGGACTAGATGACAATTTTTTTCCCCATTTTTAGATTATTTATTCACTGTTTGTGCTTCCTTTGCTGTTCAGAAGCTTCACAGACAAATGGATAAAAAAATGTGGTATTGCTGACTTTATTTGGGAACCTTATACAGAACTGATATACTCAATGGTATTGGGATACATGATATTTTGCAATAAAGAATGACAAAAACAACTCTTTTGTAGGAAAATGGATGCTCCTTGAAAATAGTATTCAGTAAAATAGACACAGAAGCTTAAAACTATACATAGTTTCGTTCATGGGAGAAATTCAAAGCATAATACAGAGTAAAATAAAAGAGATAAAAGGCACCAAGGAGACAGATCTACTGCAAATGGAAAAGGGACCTAGAGATGGAGGGAACAGAGGATGGCAAGGGGAAAGGGATGTAAGAAGTTCAGACGTGTCACACACATGTACCAAATAGCCACAGTGAAAGTAACTATTACGTGTCTCAAACATGCACACATACACAAAAGAAATTAAAGGAAAACACGCCACACAGTAAGAAGGCTACCTCCTACCTGGGCTCTCACACCCCTTGCAGTCTCAGCCAAGCTTCTCTTCATCCCGCATTCTCTTCCAGAGCAGCTGGCTGTTCCTGGACTGCACATTCCTTGCTCACTACTCCCTCAGATGCTTTTCTACAGCCTTGCATTCTTCCTGGAACGAACCTACCACACGTCTTCCTAAACAGGAGCTAATCCTTGTGGTCCAGAACCCCCTATGACTATTCCAACCTATCCGCTCACCTTTGAATTTCTGGAATTATAACTCTCTATTGCTTTGGATGATTTAACTTTTATTAAGAACATCTTTTCTATGTACGACATTGCAAGGTAACAGGCTGTTAGATAAAAACATGGTAAGTGAATCAGGAGAAACATAAGAAAATGAACGAAAAAGAGAGAATTGGGATTGGATTAAACCAAGGAGCATGGTGAACACCTCGCAAACACTCACTTGAACATAGGGCTTTTGCGCTGGGCTTCCTGTAGGACGACCAGGAGCACTGAACTCCCTTTCACGCTGACCTCAGTGGTCACATTGAACAGCAGCTCCACCTCTCTCAGCTGGTTGTTTATGGTATACACGATGGTGATGTTAGATGCTGGGGTTGGGAAAGAGGGTTAGGGTTAGGGTCAGATGATGGCTTCACTTGATCTGTGAACAAAGTGGTCACATTGGTCAGGGATTACAAGGTTTCTCTGATACATGCAAAATCTCTGTGAGTGGTAACTTACACCTGAAGGGGGTCAGGGAAGCAGTAAGTTTCAGAGCAGCTGAGGAGGCCCTTGGACAGCTTATGTAGAGTGCTGGCAAAGACCCCCAGCTGTCTCCTGAAAGTAAAGGAATTCCCCGGCAGCAGGCTAAGGAGTTGGCAAGATGTGGTGTGTTTGATACGATTGGGATCAGTTTGCTAGGTTTTGGTCTCTGTAGATTTTTCATTGTGATAGACAAAAAATTCATTGTTTTTCTTGTCTTAAGCAGTCCATGGAGCATCAATGACTAATATGTTAGTGGCTGATTAGAAAGAAGAATCAGAGAAACAATTACTTCTAGAGTGGTACAATTTTTGTGCCCCTAGAACACCTAGTTTTCTAAATGTGCATTTCTGTATAATTTGAATTTTAAGTGTTTCTGTATATTTTGAATTTTAAGTGTTTCTGTGTTATACATATAATTGTAGAAAATAGAGATATTTCAAATTAAAAATTAATTTCTACCCCATCCCTTTGGGGTTCTATGAAACCCAAGCTTTCATAGTTCAATTTCGAAGGCCTGGCTGAAGTGTTACCTCTGTTCTCCCAAGTCTCCCAAATAAAACAATTGGTCCCTATTTGTTGTAATGTTTTTGTTCTGTATATAGATTTAATTTATATTTAATAGCTGCATCATTATTCCAAATACTGTAGCTCTTTGTATACATAGTTTTTAATTTGTAAAGAGCAGACATGGTGCAATATATATAATATTTGGTGGTATGCTTGTCAAAAGAATGAATGAAAGTATTTCATTGTTGGGAATGCGGGTTTCCCACCTCTAAGATCTCACAATGCGCTTCTCCATAGCGGGTGCTCCAAAAATCAAAGCTGTTTGAAGTAGATGGGGGGCTGCGTTCTGAGGCCTGGGTGACTATCTGGGTGGTAGTGTATGCCCTGGGAGACAGGAAGGCAGATAACTTAGCAAGCTTGTGTGCCACTTAACATCGAACCCCCTTGATCTTTGGTGTGTATCGCTGCTTTTGGATAGAAGAAGAGGCTGATGGTAAAAGAGTTCTTACCAGAACCACATTTCACATGGGGCACATCTAAGTAGGTCTTGCCCTTCAGAGATGGCAGGATTTGTGCAATGGACATAGGATTCTGGAATTTCCCCTGCTTGATCTTATCAAGTACGGTAGCCATTGTCTTCTCACAGTCCCACTTCTTGCTGGGCTGCGCAGGGGTCACAGACAGTGCCTGGGGTGGGGGTGGGGAATAGCAGAGAGACAGAGATGGAGAGATAAGGCCCAGCTGAAAGTTGGCCGGTACCAGTCTGTAAGGGACAGACCTGGTCAGTAACCTTAGCGATCTTCACAATCCCTACCAAGGCCACACAGGGACTGGGATTACATTTACTCTCTGCGATGAGACATGGGCGTCCTTAGCTCCCTGCCCATCACCTGGGAGTCCCAAAGCAAGCCCCTGCACAGGATCAGCTTGAGTGATCACTGTCTAGGCTGTGGCACTCCTGAGCAGGCTTTGAGTGCAGAGCAAGGTGAGGCTGAGATAGGTGAGCTTCCCAGAGCTCTGTGCTCTAGGACATCCTGGCCACATACATGCTTCCCTGAGTTTCACATGGTCACACACAGGCTCCGTGGACTTCTCCCACAATTGTAACTGGTCGTGACTATGGGGCTGAGGCTCCACAAGCCTGGACACAGGGTGGATTCGTGGCCTGGGCTGGGCAGAACAGGGTGCCCTGTGCCTCGGGGTAATGGTCGGTGGGTATGTGCTCTCCACAGCACACAGACACTGGGGGAAAAGGGACCTTTACTCCCTGCTGGGTCATTCAGCTGGACCTGTGCAGAAATACCGAATTGCTAATGACCATCTTCCTGTAGAAGCCGTATAGTATGAGGGAAAGCAGGGCTGTAGGTAACAGGATGAGTGGTGCTTCATTTCACCATCGGAGGCCTTATTTTAGTGATTCCTGAAGCTACGTAATCCTGCAATTTTGATATACATGGAATAGTAAATCTCTATTTTTTCTTGAGCAACAAGGACTTAGGTTCTGTCACTTGCAAAATGAATCTCAATTAATGTACCTAGCAACTTATTTCACCAATGCTGAGTTTTCTGTCTTGTAGGTAAAATCACATTTCCTGCCTGTCACTATGGGAGCATCATATGATGGCTGGAAATGCATTCTGTAATGCAGGATGCAGCAGATATCTCAGCAGCTCCCGCCTTTACAGCTATGCCCAGGAGAGCCAGTGAATCATGTTAAGGGGCTGGGATTTGTGATGACCAGCTGGCCTGTAGCTGGGAATGGAGAATGAAAGGAGGAGGGGAGTGAGGAATGGTCTCTCCTCCAGAGGGTGGTGTGCACACTTGGACGGCTGTGACAGGCGTGACCATCCAGGTAACTTTGGAAATCATGGGCCACTTTATGAGGTTGATTGTCTGAGGCAGTATCACCAGGCAGATACTCCTCAGCAATATCATCATACTAAATTGCACTGAGTGAGAAATTTCCCTTGGAATAAAACATCACTGATGCCAGCCCTCTGGAGTGTTAAGTTGTTAGAAGCCATTCATAACACTGCAGGAAGAACTTTGTTAGACGCTTGGTCAGTGTAAGGCCCCATTTTAGGGAAGTTGAAGGAAGTACAGTGTTTCTGGAAAAAGGGAGAAAATTTGGGACTTGGGAATTGTTGCTCAGGTCCCTTTGGGAAGGGATGAGGTATCTTGGGCCGTGCAAAGGACACTGACACTGGGTAAGTGAAGGTGAAAACATTCAATGACCCTACTGTTCTGCTATAGGAGACAGTGAACAGTGAGCATGACATTGATTCTGTCGTGCTTTTGGACATCTTATTTCATTTAACTAGCTGCTACTGTGGAGAAGATTAAATTCAGAGAAAGTCAATATTGGTTCAGGATGGTGGTAGATGTGGGATTGAAGCCCAAACTGATAATGCTTTCAGTCCTTTGATCTCAATACCTAGAACATTTTAGATAACAAAGGGCATATTTTAGACATCTGCTGATTTGAGATCTGAGAATCCCTGTGCAAACTCCACATAGGGACAGTAGTGAGGGTAGAGGGAAGTTATGTATCTTAACTGACAAGAAATCCACATGGCCAGTGGTATCTGCATACAGCTTATCAAAGGTTCCTAGCAGCTGATATACTTATAAACAGAATTCAGGAGCCATATTAGCAAGAGTCAACACTTTTCAGTCTGGCACTAAATTGAAGTGATGTTATCTTAAGAGAGTAGCTCTAGCCATCCCCACCAAAATTTTATATTGATTGCATTCACTCCTTCCAGCATGCATGGTTTCCTCTACTAGAACTGAGCACTGGGAATAATTTTATGTTATTTACCCTTGGAAAAAATGATAATTTTTCCTATGAAAAACTCTTGTTGACCATAGCAGAACTGACACTGTTTTTTTTTTTTTTTGGTCTTTTTCCTTTTTATTGGTACCGGGGATCGAACTCACGACTGCCTGCTTGCAAGGCAGGTGCTTATGCCGCTGAGCTAAATCCCCAGCCCCCGACATTGTTTTTAATAGTTACTTCTGCACCTGGTCCTTAGGAGTAGCAGGTTGTTCTTACTGTTACGCTCATTGTGAGTTAATTGTTAGGTGCTTACACTGTTTCTCAATTTTTAATATATGGATATTAATAGAGGTCTCTATTTTTCCTCTGAAGAGACAATTTCTTTCTCAGGCGAATCCAGAACTATACTAGATTTAGGGTTAGCAGCAAAACTCCATGTTTCTTCTTTTTTTATTAAACAGTATAAATACAAACTTGCTTTTTTAGATCAAGATGAAATTTTGAAAAAAGAATATTTGGCTGCAATACTGAGTTGAAAATTTAGTATTTTAAGGCATTTGCTTTAAATATCATTATTTATAGATAAAACATTCAACAGTCAATATTCATTACTAATTAATTGTTCATTATTAATAACCAAAAGTTTTTTGGATTTGTTTCTGTTTTTTCCAAGGAAAGATAATTCATTTTGTGTAAGATTATTTTCCTCCTATTATGTTGCTTAAAATTCTGTAACATTATCTTCATTCTTTTACTTTTTCAAATAAATAATTTCATTTTCATGCTTTATCAACAAGAAAGGGAAAAATGGGCACTTATTTGCATTTTACCAGCAGAAATGTGAATGCTCGGGCACCACCAGGATGTGCTCCGAGTCGTGCTGGTTGGCGTCTCCGGAGTTGTCTGATACATAGTCGCCAGACATTGGGGGCTGGAGATTTAGCTCAGCACTATAAGCACCTGCCTTGCAAGTGCATGGTTGTGAGTTTGATCCCTGGTACCAAAAAAAGAAAAAAAAATAGAAAAAAATACATAGTCTCCAGACATCAGAGTCCAGGCTGGTTGGCATGGACTCAGTCTAGAGTGCCCAGGATGGTTTTACCTGCATGGCGAGGCCAGTACTGTAAATGTTTCCAATGATACCACTGTCTGTGACCCGCCCGCTGATATTCTCCACAGTGCTCTTCAGCACTTGGCCAAACAGGTTTCTGTAACTGTCCCAAGAACTGTACATGCACGTCAAAGCCAAGGTTGCCACTGCTCCTGTGTCTGTGAATCACAGGGGAACAGGACCATTACCACCACCACCACAGTTGAACACCCACTCTTGTCATGTTCTTATTGCATTGTAGGCAGAAGATCAGGATGAACTGGGAAAAAGTACCTGCAATAGTTTAAGAGATAAGGAAACGTAGGCTCCGAGAAGCTATGTAGCTGCCCCACGCCACATGGCCAATAAGCAATGGGGCTAGAATTTGAACCCAACTTCACAGCTCATGCTTTTAATTAATGAAGATTGTCACTGTGTTCAATTCCACTTCTCTTGTCCCAGTGTTTATTTCTCCTAAGGTCATCATTCTTCAAGGCTTGGCTGTCACCCTTCTCTATGAAGCCTTCCTAGTCTTCCCAGTATAGCATGTACTTTCTGTCCTGAGCTCCTCAAGCATTTGTTTTTATATCTACTTTGCCATTGATCTGCTCTCTGCTGTGCTACATACATTGTTGCCTTATTATGTGAATGCTTTCATGGTGGGAACCTGGCACCCTTATAGTATCCCAAAAAGAAGTTTTTTTTTCATCTTCTGTGCATAATAAACATATTACATAAAATCAGCAAGCTCTGGGCAATACGACTAGAATACATGAAAAATTTTCCCAACAGCATCTTTTATTTGACTGATCCTTCCCTCCCACCCTAAGCTAAAAGTTCAATAATTTCATTAAGGATAATAGTGTTTCTGAAAGCCAAAGACCAAGGGTGCAAACTTCTTAAAATTGACCAAGATGTTCAAGCTCTGTGGAAGGTTTCCAAGACTGGTCTCTTCCTGGCCCCCAGAAGAGAGCTCGAGAATATTTACCTGCTGGCTTGTCTGGTAGAATATGAAATTGGAGGCATTTCTGAAGAGCTGTGTGTAAGGAGTGCAAGTGTGAGAAAATGCCACATCTCAGAGAAGAGCAGAGGAGGAAGGGGGACTGGGTTAGAAGGCCATGATGCTGGCCTGAGGGGAGAGATCACTGCACAGTAAGAGGTGGATGGAAAACAGATGTGGTGTTGCAGAGGAAAAAGCTTCTGATCCACACAGTCATGCGCTTGCATGGCCAAGAAACCAGATGGTCCCAAGTTTCCAGGAGGGTTTACGGTTGAAGGAGTAGCTATTTAATAGAAAGAGGGCATTTGGGTGTAATAAGAAGCATCAAGGGGAACAGAGGGTGACACAGTGGCAGCAGTTAAAAAAATGGTTTCGTGGCAGGGAGGATGCCTGACTAACTTGCTGTTTAATTTGGAAACAACTTCTGACTCGAGTGACATGTTTACTGTCCCCTTTTGAGGTTTAGTAGTTTCTGGATCTTTCATGCATTGCCCTTGTTTCTACATGTTGCTGCCTCTTAATCTGTGAAGTCCCCCATCTGGACTCCCTTCTAGGCTCTCAGGTCCCCCATGGGAAGTGCCCCACACTGCCCACCGGCTCCAGCATGGGCTCAGGGCAGCTTCTGGCAGTGGCCAGCCACTTACCCACATCAAAGGGAGAGGTGTTAGCCAGTAGCGCCTTGGCAAAGCCCGCAGCTATAGGCAAGGTGGCCTCCCAATTCTTCTGGCACAGAGCCAAGACCGCCAGGCTGGGTGCATAGAAGTTTACAGCTTCTTCTTTTGGGCCTGGAAGTGGGGAGAGTATGCATCAGAGTAGTGGTCATTATGCTGGGGACATCTGTGGAGAAGGCAAAGCCAAAGCTTTTCAACAGAAATAAAGCCTATCTCTGAAGACAGGCACAGTCACAGAGAGGGATCACTTCACTGTGGCTCAGGATGAGGGTTTTATCTGGTGTTGGATGGCAGGGAAAGGACAGTGCTGTCTGCAGACAGGAGGTAGCCCTGCAAGTCTGTGTTGGGTTTCAGGTCCTTTTTGGCTCAGAGGGGAGTCCCTGACAGGTGGGGTTGACAGAGTGGAGGGGACCTTGTCTCTCTTCTCTCACGTTCCACTCCTGAAACCTCTGCTCCTTTTCTTGTGGGTTCCACATTCTCATGAAGGTCCTCATGCCTCCTATCCCCTCCGTTCACATGAGGACTCACCTGGTGGTGTCCAGCTCTGCATTTTTCTTTGTAGAACTGACACTTTGCTCGCAGTGTCTCTGCAGGAGGAATTGAGGGCCATGATATTGAGGGCAAGTTGTCCTATAGTTAGGTCTGCAGAGGAACAGACAGCATAGTGACACAGAGGGACAATCTCAGGGAGGGACCACAGGGGTTGGGTTGAGCTTCCTGCTTCCATCTCAGAATCATTTTTATTTTTAAAATAGTGCACTCATATAATGTTTTGATGTTTTTTTTAAATGAAAAATGCAAATATACTTAAAGGAATATTGAGTCTAGGATCTTCTCTGTGACTGTATGTTTCAGTCGAAAATCACTAGTTTATCTGGATAGAAAAGCAACAGAAACACCCATCCAAATTTATCTATGGAAATCCATACTTAAAAAATAATTTAAATGGGCTTATTTGACTTGAGCCTCAAAGTAGCTCAAGTAAGCTGAACAGAGATTTTGTTGTCAATGCCATTGCTACTAGAAGTTGTGGCACTGAAGCATTACTAGAGGGTAAGGTGAGGAAGAGTAGCAAGGAGGGACTGTGTGCGTGCAACATCCAGAACAGGAAGCCTGCTATTTTCACATCTATCTGGGGTTTGTTCTACTTCCCTCACCTCGTGCCTGAAAGCTCTGACCTCAGACTTAGTTCCTCCTCTAGGTCTTTTTCTGTTGTGTAGGGAAAGGAGGTTTAGACACAAACACAGGTGGCTGTAAGCTAGACTGGGAGAATACTGGTCAGTGTTGTAAGATTCATGGAGCAGGTGCTGCTCTTGGTTCTCTCACCAGAAATTTTACTGGCCATGAGCTCTTCAATAAGGATCTTCTGTGCCTTCAGGTTGTAGGGTCCAGCCAAGTTCATCGCAATCAGGATGCTGGGATTGGGGTAGGCTGATCGTGTCACTGAGTTCTCCATGAGCACTTGTATGCCATCAACCCAGGGCTCCTCTTCTGAGGGGACAGCTGCAAAGACAAAAGCCACTTACCAGACCCCTCAGCCCCAGCTCCTCATCTCAGAAACATGATATCTAGGCCTCTTAGGCTTGGTGTCCTAAGTGGTTAAAGAGAACCACAGGAAACATTGCAATGTTTCTTTGACAATCAGTTAGTCCTATGTCTTCTCAAAATACCCCATTCTACTAACTTAAAGCTATACAGTTCACAACCCTTGTGATTCCTAGAACTTTCTTAGAGATTAACTTCATTGTATGCCCATTGTATTCCCCTCTCAGTTTTCCACGAGTAATACTGAAAATCTGGGATATGATGTGTACCCAGCAAGAATCAAAACATCCACCTCCTAGTGGCCCTGGTCTGAAGAGCCACTAAGCAGCTATACCAGTAGCTGTCACTCTTGTGTAAGTCACTCAACCTCTCTTAATAAGACATCTGTCACCTCAACTCCCAGGGAGCTTGTTCTGTTAAATCAGGAAAGATGAGGTCACATACTAGCACCCACCTGCACTCATCCCCCCTGGAACCCCTACTCCAGTGGGATCGCTGTCACCCCACTTCCCCTCTGCAGACCTCAGTGCCTAGGATCCCTGCCTGTCTCAGGGTCACTGTGGTCCTGTCCTGTTGAAAATGAGCTCCATACTCACAGCATGAGCTTCTGACCTGGGCAGAGGTCCCAGCTGTAGCCCAGAGATGGCTCAGGAGGAAGAGGGCAAACCAGGCCATCTTGGTCTCTCCTGTCTTGTGCCTGCCTCGCCACTCACAGATCTAGCATTTGCAAGCGGGTGTTTCTTAACTTCTTTTATACGTGTGTATCTTTGCAAAACAGTCTGCTCTTCACCCAGTAGCTCCTAAGTACTCCTACTGACCTCTGCTTCCTTGGGTACATTAATTTCCATTTGCCTATGTATGTGTACTGATGTTATGGACCTCTGCTAAGTTTGGAAGTGAGTCTAGATAGTCTTATGGGAACTTAAGGATAGGTGTGCAACAAAGCCAATGATGAATATGCATCCTTTAGCCAATTCCTGGGTCATTACCTTAGAAGTTTGGCTAATGCGCACATATAAGCATATCTGCCTTTTCCTGGGATTTATTCTATGTGCTCATGGGACCTTGTGTTTGTTTGTCTACAACCACTTCCTAAGGGTTTCGGAGGTCATTTGTGGTCCAGCTCATTTCATGGTCCAGGGCACCGTTTTGGGCTTTCAGCGGGGGCTCTACCTGCAGGTGAAGTCTGACTTGATGCAATTAGCTTAACTGTGACCTATGTGTGAGCCCAGACTCTGGGAAGTAGTTTGATTTTAGGCACAAATAGCCCTTCATTTTTGCCTGTATTATTTAGTTTTGTTTCTCTTTCCTCATTCAGGAATAGAAACTCTTTCTAACACCCAAGGCTTTCAGATCTAGTATTATCTTTTAAAGTCAGTAATTAGAAAGTGTGGGATCAGTTAACTATATCACTATGTAAGTCACTCAACCTCTCTTAATAAGACATCTGTTACCTTTTTTTAAAAAAACATACACCCACCCCAAATAATGCAAAAAACACCTTCCTATAGAGAGAACTGCAATAGTCTCTTTAAATTGTGAGGAAGGGGCTAACTCCTTTCTGCATTTTAAGCAGATCCTTTGAGGGGAGAATTCTCCAGTGGCTCCTATTGTAGAATAAAAGTAAAAGTCCTTTTAATGACCTACATGGTGGTAGAAGATTTGGCTTCTGGTTTCCTTTATAAGTTCCACTCCAGCCACATTCTCCTCTGCTCACTCCGTTCTAGCCATATGCATCCTCTTGTGTTCCTTGAAAACTTTGCTCAGTGTTGTACTTGATAGTCCCCAGAATGACTTGCCAAACAGTCTCCTGGGTGGTCCTCGCTTTCTTAATTTCTCTGTCCAGAGGGAGACTATTAGAAAGGGCTCCAGGCCCATGCCTATAAGACAGCCTCACCACCACCTGGCCACCCTGCATGCCTGTCCCTGCTGTACCAAGTCATGCTGTGTGTGTCGTTCACTGTCCTTGTCTTCCTCCCTTCCAGAAGGTCTGCTCTGAGGAGCAGGGGACTTGCTTGCTGCTCTGTCCCCAGCATTTGTGGCCTGCAGGGCTAAACGAGTAAACAAATATAACAAGGTGAATTTTAAAGCAGCCTTTTCCTTCTCAGGGAGCATGAGTAGCTTTGAGAGGTAGAAGCATATTGAGGTGCAGCAGCTTCTCACATGGCCAGTGTTCCCACCTCCTGATTGACATCCCTCTGTCACCCCCAGAAGAACCCTTCCCAGGGTGTAAGTTGTCCTAACTTTGAGAAGGTTCACGCAGCATAAGCAATGGGCCCAAGTCACAAAGGCTGACTGCCCTCTTGCTCACAGTGAGGTTTCTCTGGCATTTCTTCTTTTTTATTTTAGAGTAAAAAAAAAAAACCAAAAAAACAAAAATCAAGAAGCAAACAAAACCCCCCCAATAACAAAAACAACATGACAACAACCATAAGAACAAGAACAACAATAATAGTTACATAGATTTTCAAAACAACATGATAGGAATTTAACAATTGTTGTTGTATTACATATTGTTATCTTCAGAATAGTTGCTCAGGTTCCAGGCACAGGAATAATACAAAACAGTAAAATGGAACAAAACATTGGATTTCAAAAACAAGGCAGAAGGAAATATGCATATTACTTGGCAAATAGATGCTCAGACTATCAGCTTTAGGCCTGCAAAGTTAATGAAACAATACAAGTGTTATGGTTAATACACTGTGTCAACTTGAGAACTTTACAAGTGTAGCTGAGAGACTCAGCAGGGAGCCAGGATCCTTACTTTGTAAATATCCTCATCCTGTGGGAGAGGAGGGCACAGAGATTTTGTGAGTGATATCCTTTCCTGGGAGGGATGTGGCCTGTGTATAACATAAAGGAGGAAAAGAGGCTTGCTCTTACCCTTTTACTCTGGCTGCTGCCTTGAAGTGCTGCCCCAATGCCATGTGACCCTGCCTTGCGGTCAGCTTGTTATGAACTGAAACCTTCACAAACTGTGAGCTAAATAAACCTTTCCTTCCTTAATTTTGGGTGTTGAGTATTTTGTCCCAGCAATGAGGGAAAAATAACCAAAAGCATTAAGACAAAAAGGATTAAGTTATTTATTTTACTTCAGTTGCTATCATCTCAGACTGACTTCCTCTGAATCAGCCCATTGCTTATTGGGGTGGGGTGGTAGGGGATGGTTCTCTTCTTGTCTTCTAGCCAAAGCATTGGCTGGCTCATGGGAAGGCATGGTTTGGCTTCTTGTTTCTCTTCCCATTCCCCATGGTGGCTGCCCCTGGATTACGGGAAGGTGTGGTTTGGCTTCTCTCTGGCTGTTCTAGGCCCTGGCTCTGAGGAAGCTGCCAGGTTCTGAGCTGTCTTGTGGAGGCCATGAGGTGAACACCTGTGAGAAGCCTCCAGTCCACATCTGGGGGAGGAGTCTTGCAGATAGATCTTCTTCCCTGGCAGCTCTGAGATGAGGCAGCTGCTGCTGAAATGCTGGCTATAGCTTCCTAGAGACTAGGCCACAGTTAAGTCTGCTGGATTCCTAGCTCACAGGAGCTGTGGGATAATAAATATCTCAGGCTTTTAGGTTTTTTTTTTTTATTTAAGAGGAAAAAGAGAAAAACACAAAACAAAACAAAGCAGTGTAAGGTTACATATAATACAGAACTACAAAAAAAAGCATAACAGTAAGAAATCACCTGTTAATAGATTACATATTATCATCTTGGAAATAGTTGCTCAAATCACAGTATCAAAGAATACAAAGTAGACATTCAAACAGAGAGACTACAAACAGCTGTGTTCAATGATCCAAAAACATTAATATAGTCAGCTATTCAACATCCCTATACACACTTGCTGTTATATCCGTTAGAGCTCTTTTTTCCCCTTCCTCTCTTTTTACAACAAAATTTACACATTTTAGATTTTATTACTCCTTAGTTCTTATTACTTTTGGGGGGGGGGAATAAAGTCAAATATGGCAGAACAAAGCTGTCAGTGAAAACCAAGGATAGACTTAGCACATGATGTAGAACAGAGTATACGGTTATTAACAATAGTTATCAACGTTGTCTCTTGTTTCCTTAAAAAGATTTGTCTATCTCATTAGATATTATAAAGTTGGACAAAACAGTAGAGAACAAGACCAATAAAACTTAGACATTGTAAACATTACAGGACTTCCAAAGGAGACAATAGTCAAACCAGAATGGGCATCTTAGTGAATCTTACTGCCTTCAAAGTAGTTGCCTATACCCTCGGACCTGATACTATCCCACAGAATGGAACAGAGTCTAATCAGTCAAAACAAGATCGTGGGAGCATTACAGGACTTCAAAACAAGTTAATAGGAAATCGAAAAGAGTTACTATTATATATCCTAATTTTTAAAATTTTTCCCTTAATTAAAATAAACATAAGAAATAACTAAATAATTTTTTTAAAGAATAATAGTTACCATAGTGTCTGTCTTTTTCCTTGAGATATTTGGATAAAACTTCATATACTATAGCTTCAAATATTTCCATATCAAGAAGCCCGGAATAAAGCCTTTCTAATTAATAAGTGAAAATTTTATAAGGCTTCAAGGCCACATAATGGGGAATCATGATTGCCACATATTTTCATATATTTGAATCATTACTTACATTAGGGAAACTATTCGGTATTCATACATGCGAGATTGATTTATTTCACTTATGAGTATGGTCTCAAGCTGCGCCCATTTATTGATAAATATCTCAATGTGATCCTTCTTTATAGCTGAATAATATTCCATTGTATAGAAATACCACAACTTTTTTATCCATTCCTCAGTTGATGGACACTTGGGTTGTTTCCAAGATCTGGCGATTACAAATTGTGCTGCTATAAACATAGGTGCACATAAATCACTGTGGTATGATGCTTTCAGTTCTTCTGGGAATATGCCTAGAAGTGGAATAGCTGGAATAAATGGGATTTCCAATCCCAACTTTTTGAGAAACCTCCAGACAGACCTCCACAAAGGCTGTACCAGTCTACACTCCCACCAACAGTGCAGGAGAGTTCCTTTTTCCCCACATCCTCTCCAGCATTTGTTGTTGTTGGTTTTCTTGATCCTGGCCATTCTTTCAGGAGTGAGATGGAATCTCAGTGTGGTTTTAATTTGCATTTCTCTGATGACCAATGATGATGAGCATGTTTTCATATATTTATTTGCCATTTGCATTTCTTCATCTGAGAATTGCGTATTCATCTCAGATGCCCATTTTTGGATTGGATCTTTGAATTTTGGAGGTCTGAGTTTTTTTAATTCTTTATATGTTTTAGACAAGAGTCCCTTGTCTGAGAGAGAGTTCACTAAAATCTTTTCCCAGTTTGTGGGTTTTCTTTTCACTATGCTGGAGATTTCTTTTGACATGCAGAAACTTTTTAATAAGATGTGGTCCCAGTTATTGATTCTGGGAAGTGTTTCCCGTGCGGTTTGAGTCCTGTTCATGAATTCTCTACCTACTCCTATGTCTCCAAGGTTTCTACCCACTTTGTCTTCCAATAGATTTAGTGTTTCTGTTTTAATATTCAGATCTTTGACCCATTTAGATTTTAATTTAGTACATGGTGATAGACATGGGTCTAGCTTTAGTTTTCGGCAAATGGAGAGCCAGTTTTTCCAGCACCATTTATTAAAGAGACTGTCGTTCTTCCAGTGAACCTGCTTGGCTCCTTTATCAAAGATAAGGTGGTTGA